TTGCTGCTACAGCAAAGGTTGGGTGGTGGTGTGAGACCAAAAGTGGATGTGGAGGTGGTAGTGGTGTGTAGATGTGTGGTAGTGGTGTTATGGGTCCGGTGGAGTGGAGTTGGTGGACCAGGCCAGTCCTTTGACAATGGCGTGGTCCGGGTGGATCACCCAGCAGCGGCCCTTCTGATGAAAGACTGCACCATGGTGGTCGTTAAGGAGGTTCATGGCGTGTTCCTCACCTCCAGAGGTATATTTTGTGGCAGCACCCCAAGCAAGGAGTGTGATGATAAGGGAATGGGAATTCTTGTGGAGTTGCCAGGTGTTGTGGATGATGCGGGCAAGTTCGTTGTGGTCATGGGGTTGGTTGTGGGTGATGCGAACGCCCTGGGCAAAAAATCCAGGGTAGTTGGCAAAGTGGAGTGTGCTGGGTAAAAAACGGCCTTGGCGTAGAATGTTGGAAATGTTGCCGACGGGGCCTGTGTGGCCTGCGTTGATGTGGGCGACTTCCCGGTGGGTTGATGTGGCGCGGGAAACCGCAGGTGGCTCTGGTGTAGTGGCTTTGGTGTTGAGGAAGGGAAGTGAAATGGCGTAGTACTGGAATTGGTCGTATTGGTGAGTTGCGTCGTTCCACTTAGCGTGGGTATATTGTCGGAAATCGGTGATCTCCTTGTAGGTGATGTTGCAGTCTGTGAGGATATTGGCAATGTACTGGTGTTGTGGTCGGTTGGGATTGTCGAGTTGGGTGGCGTGGAATTCGAGCCATTCCAGGATTTGGTCTGCAGGTGTAAAGGTGTGAAAGTTGGGTGGAGGTCGCCAACGGTTGATTGGGCGACGGAGGACGGCTGTGGTGGGATATTGAGAGGGGTCCGGGTTGGTGTGTTCGGTGTTGGGGCGTAGATCAATGGGTTGTGGTGGCGAACGACTGCGGGATGGCGTAAGGCTGGATGTGTAGGTGGATGTTGAAGGCGACCGCCGTCGCCGGGTTGTGCTGTGATGTTTGGAGTGGCGGTGATGGCGATGTCGGCGGCGGTGGCGGTGGCGTCCTCTGTGGTGATGGTCGGACTTGCGTCGGCTCTTGTGGTGGTGGCGGCGACTGCTGTGTGGTGGTTGCGGGGAAGGTGGTTGCGGTGCTGGTGAGGCAGTGGTGTCAGGTTGGTCTGGTGCTGGTAGTGAAGGTCCAGGCGCTGGTGTGGCAGATACCAGCGATGGGGATGCTGAATGTTGGGATACGGTAGCTGGTGGAGGCGTTTTTTGGACTGGTAATGGATTGTCCTGGGCAGTCGTGGGGATGGGTTGGATCGGTGGTGTTGGATCCGATGGTGGCTGCTGTTGAGGTGGAGGTTGGGTTGGTGTTGAGGCGTTGATGGTTTGTGGAGGCGGTGGCGGGGGCAACGGTTGGAGGGAAACAGTTTAAGTGGATGGTGTGTCGTAGGTCAGTGCAGTGGCGGTAGGGTTGGACAAAAATGGTGGTGGTTGAAATGGTTGTGGTTGTGGGTGAGGGTATGCCGATGGTTGTGTCGAGGGAAAGGTGGGTGCAGTTGATGGTTGTGGCATCGGCCATGTGGGTTGAGGTTGTGTGGTAGGTAATGGTGGTGGCGCGGTGTGAGCGTAGGGCCACGGAAAATGCATGTCGTGGTCGTAGCTATGGCGCGGCGCGGCGCGGCAGCAAAAAGCAGCGGAGAAGTGCCGAGTTGTATTGTCTTGTTGTTGTTGAAGGTGTCATCTCTGGTGTCAGTGGTGAGTATGTTGTAAGGTGGTGCTAAATGTGAGCTTGTTGGTAGGGGTGTGTTCATGCATCTCGAATTAAGCTGAAGAGCTGTAATGCCCATCCTTGAGTTCTGTCGATGAAAGAATCGCGGCAGCAACATGGCGAACATAGAAACACGCACATGATTGGAAGACATGAAAAGAAAACTGAATGCTGAAATCTGAGATCTGAAGTTTGGAATCTGAAGGATTCTTCAAGAACCGTTTTTTGGCCCGGCGGCCGGTGTGGCGGTTGATTCTGTGAGGGTGTCGGTGCCTGCCTTCCTGTGATAATCCAGTGAGCGGTGGTGCGTTGGGGTGGTTGCTTTCCCATGCAAGAACGGCGCCCCTGTGACGGGGATCACACTCAGCACCCGAGTGGGACGGCTGAGCAGGACACACTTCGAACTTGGGTTTTTCAGTTAACGCAATTGTCTCAATGGGAAGGAAGGCGATGGAACGGCAAGGTGGAAAGGTCAGCTTAAACTGTATTGTTTAACACAGGTTTCACGACAAGCGCAAGTGGAAGCGGCGGTCAGCAGCTGCAGTGCAGTGGGAAACCTGTTTGTGGGGAAAGTATCGTGTGGAACCACCATGAATCAAACCAAAAGATTGGACAGCGTGTTCAAAAGTTGAAGCAGGTACACATCAGGACGTCTCCCGATGCATCACCAGAGAATGTGGACGTCTTCGTTGGCAGTGATTCCACAAACTCTGTCACTGCCCCCTGCCTGTGTAAAATGGGAAGAGTGGTGGTGTAAGACCCTTTGTCCAGGGTGGGACACACACACACACACTAGCTCTCACTACATAGTCAGTGCCTTACTGGGGCCATATCTGTGGCGGGAGCTTTCTATTCACATTGAAATTCTATTCATATATATTCATATATAGCACACCATGGTATCGGCTTTCATTCTCATCTACCAATGGTATCCTGTTGGCGCTCTGACCTTCGGGATCCCAATCGCTCTGGTGAAAGCAGTGAAGAGCAGCAGCGTTTTTGCGCTTTTCAAGGTTCACTCTCCTCTCCGATCTATCCAGGTTGTTGTCCCCAGTTGTCCCCCTTCGTTCAGGGGAAGTGATCCCCACATCCCCACTGGTCTCACACACTCTCAATCCGCGCCAGGAGGTGATGATCCTGTCCTTGACGGAGCGTTCCACGCTGACACAGCTCAAGAAGATCCCAGCACCCTGGCAATGTCCTTTGCTTTGTTTGCTGAGTTACGTTCGGTCACTTGGGACTGACCATGGTCCGACAGTCATCCTGCTGAAGGTGGTCGGAGAGGGCAAAATGGTAGGGGGACATTTGACCATTCATCAGGATTCTTGTCCAGCATTTGTTGGGGATGAAATGCATGTAGTAGCAGTTGCACTGGAACTTCAATATAAACACTGGGAGTTGGGTGTGGCACTGAGAGGCAGGTGGCTTTTAAGGCAGTTCTGACCTGCTCATGGCTTATTATTGGAAGATCTCCTGCACAGCTTGCTGCACAACACATTCTGTTCATTTCTGGGAGAGATGGCTGAAAGCATGCTCCGACCAACTAGCAATAGAATTTGGATGAATTTGGTGTTTTTAACCAAGGGAGCAAAAGTCATTGGTCAGAAGAGTCATTGGTCAGAAGGTTTGGAAGAGAGATGTTCTCGTCTACTCGTAGAGGCAATCGTTGCTTTCTTTTGCACAACAAACTGGCCTTCTACCTTTCTTCCTCCAAACAGTGTGGTTACTAACACGGACGCACGGACTTGGGGCATATACTCGGGATCTTCCCTGCTGAATTTCTGCCTTTCTTCCAGAAATCCAGCAAGAAGGCAGAAATGTCGCACAGTTGGAAGATCTTGGTATATGGGCATAGGTCGGTTGACAAGGTCAGGGCTCCTCCTCTGCCTATTCAGACACTGAAGAGACCTCAGTTTGTTGAACTTCACCTGGTGAAGCCTTACGTACCCGGTTCTGCGGTTTTCGGGGGGATTTGTTGGTTTTTCTCGGTTCCTGGGCAGCTTGCTGCCCAGCTTCGGTGGCCCTCCAAGAGCCTGAAGCGATCTTCGGTTCTTCCCGATGAGCCAAGTTGTCCGCTCCATGTCCTCAAGACGGTCATCCACAATCATCCAAGACGTCGTCTGAAACATGGGAACCTGAACCCCGACCATGTGAGTTCATGGCAGGGTGATATGATGCGTCCCATCATTTGGATTGCACACCCTCTTCATTTTCTGGGGGGGGGTCAATTATTAAAATACTATATATAACAAAATATCACTTATATGATCTTATATGTTCTAGATTTTAGTTTTTTTTCTTTTAAATGTTATACTATAATATCTATTTGTAATAATGTACGTATTTATGCTTGTTTACAATGTCATCAACGCATAGCACCTGTGCCACGCGGTTCACCTGAATCGCGAGGTGACGGGCGGGCCACCCTATGTAGCTCGATCGGAAGCTATCCAGGGAGCTGAAGAGACGGAAGGGAGGTGAACCTGAGACTGCAGCTGTGTTTTTTGTTGGGGGGGTGGCTTCCGCCCCCTTCGTTTTTTTTTTTGGGGAGGGTGACAACATCCTTTGCCACGACCTCCAGACATCAAAAGATTTGTTGGAAAAAGGAAAGCAGACAACAACCCATTGGGCCAGGGGTCTCCCTATCAAAATACACTCTACTTCACTTACAATACTGGCTTGTTGCAGCAAAGTGTTGCAAAGACTCACTCGGGCCGTTGGGTTTTGATTGGACACATGCAGCATGAACCACGCGACGGTCAGGTCATGAACCACGGGCCGACGTCTGGTCACACTACGCACGCCCAGTCTCACCCAGGTCCTGGTCCTGAAAAAAGAAAATAGTAGTGTTTTTGTACGATCAACTCCAGTAAAATGAGGCTGACCTGTAGGGTCAGTTACAGGGCCCAGACTTTAAAACATCACAATCACAAACATCATCTCGACAGAGACAGATTGCGGTGAATCCGCCAAGGATTCGGCATTTTTGCAAGAGGTCCGGTTTGCCTGTGATAGTAGAGATGATGTAGATGCGTGTAGATGATGGTGGATGCACGGGCAAATGTGGTGGTCTGGAAGGACACTTAGGAATATAACATAGTGTTTGTTGACGTAGACGCAGCGATCAAAGCGGCTTGGTAGTCTCGAAGCCAAGAAGGTGCCACCTGCGCAGGGTGTTTTGGAGTTAACCCTGTGTGAGGTGTCTGCTGTGCTCCCCCAAGCACTGCGGGCGGACTCGGTCGGATGAAACGTTGAGGCAATGCTTTTGCTGAGCCAAACTTTGTTGGTGGCCACTGATCTCTTTCTGCACGTCTTCCAGGCACACCGTGTGTTTTGTGAGGTGTCGAAGCAGGGTGTTTTGGTCGGCGCCTGATGGGGAGGACGCAGGGTGGCCATGGTCGGTCGTCTACAGGGTCGGTGCCTGAACGTCCCCACACTGTCGGGATGGGTGTGTTGAGGACGTGGAGATGTTTGGAGGGTCCAAATACCAGCCCTACTGCGCCAAAAAGAATCACCAATCGGATTCACTCTAGCCAGTTGCGCTATATGGGAGTCTCTTGACCAATTGCGCCCTACTGCACATCAGGGACCGTCAATTCAGTGACACAGAACCAGCAGTTTTCGAAACTTACCCAGGAACATGCTTCATATCTACGCCTCCAGTCCCAAACAAGAACAACTATGTGCTTCCCTCAACAACCACTCGTTGGGCCATGCGGCCGAAACGATTTGATGATGGTACCTGGTTTTTTGGTACCGTTGACTAGCATCGGAACCGATGAAAACCCTCCGTGCAAAGGCGGTACTATCGGTTCACGATGTGCGTATGTGTGGCGGTACTATCGATGTGCGCCGTGTGTGCATGTCAATCCGATGCTCCACAAAAAAGGAAAGGGTGGAGTCTACAAGCCTCCGTCCTGCTCGGCAGTTCCTAGAAACTGGTCTTCTTCTGTTGGTCGCGTTGCCAATGAAAAGGGGACACATGGTCCGAATCATCTGGACGTGCCGCCCGGGGCGTCGGACGAGGTTTTCGACCTCGGTTTCGATGGTGTTCGAGGGAGGTCGATGGAGGTGCCGCTCTGGTCGATACTGTTTTCCTATAGTATCTATAATAGTCTTCTGTTCCACCATTCAAAGAGTTTGGTTCGGACCTGGTGTCGTAGTCTAAAATCCCTATAGTAAAGATAGTAGAGGCCAATTAATTTTAATGGTGGGCGAGTGGAATCCTATTGTAACTCGCATGCAATCCCTCGATTGGTTGAGCCATGCCGCCATGCCATGTGGTCCACTCTTAGACGTGAGAGACCCACCAGAACCCTGCTGATCTGCGCCCAGGGAATGGCCTTGGACACCACAAGCACTGAGGTGCAACCACGCGCATCGTCGCTGGGCCTTAGAAGGTCGCTTTTCTCGGGGCTGGTGGGGAGGGTTGAGGAAGGGTGAGGGTTGACATGGGATTTAGAACACATACATATGGGAACTCACACATTCCAAAGTCATCTGCCTTACCAGTGATTTGCACCCAGTCTAGTCTTATTCCAACGATTTCTGGGTAGCATGACTCTTCACGGTCGCGTTGACAACCCCTAAAGAACAGGCAGGCGGCAGCAGGGGTCGAAGGGCAGTGTCATGGCCTCACTGATGAAGCGAAACATCGGTCGACCATATATAGAGACCATGGTGGGCGATGGTAGGTGACCCCCAACAACCATAAGCTTCCTCAATCTCCCTGAAAAGAACCTGACTGAAACGCCTTGGTCAAGTAACTGAGTAAGGAACATTCAGGACATTTGCGAGTTTCAGCTTGGGAGATGGGATACGAGCTGCAAGCCATGACGGCTCCGACATGAGATCTCTTAATAAAACTTTGGGGCCCATTCCGATTTTCGATTCAGGGACACCAACTGCACTGCAATCTCGTGGTTGCTTCATATTTTTGTCGGTAGTTTAACATACCTAAATTGTCCTAAATTTATATAATACTTGTCGGTAGTTCAACATATATGATTTATTTAGGTCTGTGAACCACACAAACATCCACCCATGGCTAGGCTCACCAATAAACGCCGGTAGCTTGTGTATATAGACGCCCGTGGAATATCAGAAGGCTAGAATAACACCCGCAGACTCAAATATCAGGCTGAGTCTAAGACAGTGTAAGGCTTCATGAGATGATTCCAAGGTGCAAACACCCTCGGAACATTTGGGAACGGACTTGCTCGATATACGTCGTTGTTATCATTTTTCTAGGACAGAGGATTTTCTTCTCATGGCCTTAGACCAGACCTGCCAACTGTGCAACATGGCTGTCAGCCTTTTCGTCGAAGAAACTGCCAAAAGGCATACCTTAAGTGGCATATAGTTGCAAGATCCAGGTCGGCTATTCTGCAGCCAAGACTCGTCGGTTTGGGGACCGATAGCGCTAGCTCCTAGGCTGGCGGTGAACATGGTCCACAGCCATCCTCCCACGATCACCATCAGCCTCTTAGTTGCTTGGCTCATGAGAATCCACTCCAACCCCAAGTGAACCCCACCATATTGGCCCTTTCCTATTTTTCCAAGCTGGATATACTGAACTGAAACCATCTATATAACCCCGGCTTAAGAACTGGACCTGATCGCCCTCGTGTTTCACCATGGCGAATGCGACCCTTTCGAGTCGATCGAACACGCCAACGGGCCACTGACCAAGCAGTCGGACCAAGCAGTCGGAACCGAACCGACGACGAATCCGGTGAAGCAGTCGGACCCGACGTAGTGCCCCACCCCCCCGGGGTAGAAGAAAAACACCTCTAGGTAGGAGTGGAAGAGAACATTTTGACCCTGACACGGGGAAACAGACCAAACTGGAGACTGGCAATGTTTGGGGAACCACTCTGTTTTGATCCTACCAGAATCCGACTAATTATTTCTTGGCTGTTTTCAATGCATCGAAGCCCTCAAAACCCACGAGTAGATGGAAAAACACCACCAATAGTTGACTAGACCTTCACGTCGCGGTGTGAAACATGGAGATCCACAGCTAGTGTAGGGTCCAGCTACAGGAGACGCCTGGAGACCACTGGAGGGCGCCTGCATCACCCTATGGCTCCAGTGGTACCTCAGAAGGTATGACTTGGTATGACTGGAGCCTCCTGATCCACCCCAGTCCCACTCCAGTTCCACTGAACCTCAGAAGATGCGACTGGAGCCCTCCGTATAGAATCTTCACATCTTCATTCTTCCGAACTCCCAAGGAGACGGGCCTCCTCTTGGGCTTGGACCTCTACAGGCAAAGCACCGCCGAAACGTGAAGTCAGGACTTTCCGATGCCGACCTGCGGCAGTCTGCAGACCTGTGACCCTCCAGACCTGGATCTTCCAACAATATCAACATGGGCTGGCATAGATGAAGTGAAGAGACAGACATGTTGGAAGATCATGCAGATCCAGGTATACCGGCAGATCCAGCCCATGTTGACATCCATAGTATGAAGGAAGGTAGATCATGTTGATTGATCATGCAGATCCATAGTATGAGGCTCCGGCCCCCCGGCCCCCTCTGGCAGAGGTGTTTCGGCCGTTTCCTCCGGGTCGGTCCGTTGAGGAGCGACTCGTTCTGGCGACCTCTTTGTTCCTGTTGAGTCTGTTGAGTGGTGGGCAGATGTTATGACTCAGCAGACTAGAGCTAGTGGTAGTTGAATGGTAGTCTGTTGAGTAGTCTGTCGAGTCAACAGTCTGTTGAGCTTCTTACAGGAGAGATACTAGGCAGGATGCCCCAGGATGCCGGTCTTGAGAGCCGCGATCTGCCGGGATTGGAGATGCGACCCATCCCTGGGCATGCAGCATGCAGGGCAGATGGAAGTGGCGTATGTTGTTTGTGTTTAATCTTCCACCCATCTGACCTTGAGCATTGTTTTGATAGTCCAACAACAGGGACCACTCAGGTTCTATGGTTGATGATCCATGGAGATTCACTCTCTCGCTTCAAACGTGTCGAAGAAAAACCACGGCAGTCTTGGTGGGTTCAGCGGAACCTGCTTCCATGCGGATCAGGCCTAAGACTCCCACGGGACTCTGTGGCGCTGGCAGCTTCTCTCCGCACCTCGGTGCCGCTGTCTGCGGACACGCGCGTGAACGACCACGTATGAACGACCTGCCCTGAAGGCCTCAAATCCGGGAGCCTACCCTAAGAATCCGGGCCCAGTTTAAACGATGTGGACACGGGTTTGGTTCGGGTCATGTCCCACCCCTGCCATAGTTCGGGTAGAAGAAGGAGCCCGAGCCCATCTCATGTCTTATGGGTCGAAGTTCTCCTTCCTCCCCTCAGCCAGAATGGCACTGGCAGGACTTCGCTGGCGCATGGGTCACACGCTGTTGCCATGTTTATTGCCCATCTACAAACAAACTTGCGAGCACAGCACCCATTTGTACTCACGTCGTGCATCGTCATGCCTTGTTTTTTTAAAGCAACTATTGTCAGTCAGGACCGCCAGCTGTAAGAAGCAAGCTGTATAGTTGTTCAGAGAATTTCAGAGATAGATTTTTGGCACTCACTAGCACTCACTTCTCTTTTGAGGGAGCAAGGCTGGGCAAGGGCAACTGGTACCAACAATCCAAGGTACTAGTTATTAGATGTTATTAGCCCATCCACTGAGTGGCCTAGCTTACTTGTGAGTTCATGTTGATCTCGTCGTCACACGACTCGACACGTCCGACACACTGGGCCGTCCGGCTGTGCCGACGAGACTCGTCGTCGCCGTCGAGGCCCGGCGACTTCGAGTGCCGCCCCTGCCCCGATGGCTGGAGCTCCTTCGGTGCCGCAGGCGCGTGCGCGAAGACGAAGCAGCGCGAGTGGTGGGTGGGCGCGGGTGCGCGTGGTGGTGGGTGGCAGGTTTTTGGGGGGGCTTTTTACGGGCCTGGAAGACCGCAGGATTTGGGGTGGGGCGGTTGGTTTCTAGGCATTGTAGGCGACTCAAATCTGATCCGAGTTCGTTCTTGAGTTCTACTTTGTCTTTCCCTGGAGATCCACATACCTTCTCAGAAGGTACGACTGGGCCCTCCTGGCGTACGACTGGATCCCTAGGGTCCTGGGGTTTGTCCTTTTTTGGGCTTGACGCAGGACATAGAAAATAGGACCTTTAAAAGGTTCCTTCCTTCGCCGGAACGTCCGGACCCAGGTGGTAGGATCCAAAGGTTCCTGCTAATTCGAGGGGGTGTTGAATTTCCTCTCACCCCGCTTGAGCATAGATACTGTAGCATAGCTACTGCATAGCTCAAGCGGGCAAAAAAAGCGGCTTGGCAGGTTTAGCGGGCAGTAGCGGAGGGTTGGAAGGGCAAAACTCAGGTGAAACTGCATGAAAGTGCACTATGTAGATCTTTCATGATCTTTCGTAAAAAGAACCGCCAAAGAATGAATAGAAACCCACTGCTGGGCGGGGTTACCTACTCTAATACACATCCATAGAGGAGTCTGACCACTGTGAGCACAGGAACATCTTTGAGAACTCGAGCTCACAGAGCCCGAACTCACACTGACTGACATCAAAGGTCTATGCGTTAGCCACATACCCACGCCGGGCACCGCGATCCTCAGGACGGCCTTCTGCAGTTGCGTTGCACATGACAAATCAAGTCCCCCCAAAACCCCACACCGATCCTCAGTGTTTGACCCGTCCGGTTCGTTGGTTCAATCCGTTCACCCTACTGGTCTGGGTGAAGCATCCTGCGGGTCCTGCGGGTCCGTCGGGTCCCGAGGTCCACACAAGCATTTGCTTCATGGAGGGTTCTCCCCCCCAACTAGGAGACCCTGTAAGAAATGGGGCAATGCCGGGCAATGCTGGGCAATGCCGGGCAATCGCCTTGAAGCAGAGGGTTGTTTGCACATGTCCAGGTGTTTGTTTTCTTACATAGAAGTTCATCCTGAAACAACACATCCCACGTGAGTGGCTGTGACGATGTGGGCGAGTGCGCACTTGGCCTTGGTCAGGGTCATGCAATTATCCCATGCCGAAGACCTTGATGAACGCCCTGAAGCTGCTGGGTTTGGCACGAATAGCATCAGCTTAGCTTGACTCTTCCAGGTTAGAGGGTGGAACGGGGTGCCCAGCGGCTCAAGAGTCAGAGGTAAGGAGAGGAACACATTCTTAGAGGATATCTAACCATTTGGGGCCACTCGGAGCTTTGTCTTGTTTTTTTTTCTCACGGACCCATGTTTTTGTGGCTACAAGGTCATGATCACAACCCAAATGAAAGGACTAAGCGCCCCATCAACATCCCCACATTTAGGATGGTTCAGGGACACTCGGGAGGCCTCAAAAGGGCAAGCAGAACATAAAGAAGAAACACAAAATTAATGATGAGACTTAGAAGACATCGATCACCACCTTCAACCCACCCAATTTGATGCTAATGCAGCACCACCATCGTAAAAACTACACCCTGAACATCCAGCAGCAAGACCTGCTACTTTGCACCACCAGAACTTGAGCTGATACCAAGTTGCCTGAATTGACAGGCAGTCAAGCCGATGATGCCAAGGGAAGTGTCACCTCCTCCAGCAGTGTAGGCAGATATGGCATACATGGAGTGTCTGTGTATATGAGTTTGTTGGGTAGTTCCACGAGGGTTTTTGTGGCTCCATCAGCTGTCCGCCATCACAGAAGATGCAGCTGTCCTGGGATACACCGAGGTTGTTGCTCTTGGGGATGCTTCTGATGCTGGTGGTGATTCCGCAAACGCTGGCACTGATCCTGAAATTCTCCAAGGCAGAGCATGTGGGGCGCACACAAACACAATGTGCTTTGGGTGCATAGAGCCATTTCTGGAAGAGTGCATTCCGGCAATGGATTGGTCCAGCATACCCCCTGGCAACCCCTGGCTCAAATCGGATTTTCTACCAAACCCACTAAAAGCCACAAACCACTTGGGAAAACCGGACCAGAGCTATGCTCCCAGTTCGACCTCCTGAATGATCAGTCCACAGCGCCGGGCACAGCATCAATCGCCAGGCCTCTTTGCGCACCCATCTCGATGAGATGTTGCAGCCGTTCTTCGTGCCCTATGCTATGGCAGCCTGGAGAGACACCGAGCGAAACACCGATGGTGCAAACTTGTTTGGCTTGTTTTCGGAGTTGGCCCAATGCTAGACGATCCAACCAAGAAGTGCCCCATCCGCCAAGCAGTCGCAGAAACCATATGAAGCATCATTTGACACGGCCCATGCCTTTATTCTCAGAGCTCTCAAGAACAGTGCTTTATTTTTGGGAAACACTTGTTTTCCCTCAACCCCCATGTACCTCCTCCAAAAGAACGGCAGGCACCACAAGACTTGGCTATATGATTTGGTGGATCTAACATTGACGGGCCACTTGGAGCCCAGATGAGGTCGGGTCCCACGAAGGTGAACCTTCCCAGGGCCAGGGGTCGTTGTCTGGCAGGTCTCCCTAATTCATACCCATGGCCCATGGGCGATTATGTGACTTTTTTTAACCCACGCACCCCTTTTTTTGACCAACCCATTTTGTTTGACCCCCGGAACTGTTTAATTTGACATTCCGACCTTTTCTTTTTGACCCACAACCATTCTTTTCTGACCCACAGCCGTTCTTTTTTCACCTATATACCACCCTTCTTTTTTGTTCCACAACCCTTCTTTTTTGACCCCCCAGCATTCTGTTTCAAACCCTTTTTTCTGACCCACAACCCTTCTTCTTTGACCATAAACCCTTTTTTTCTGACCCATGGTTCTGTTTTCTTTGACGCCGCAACACTTTTTGTTTGACGCGCAACCCGCTTTCTTGACCTCATAAACCCCCGGGCATGCTCTATGAGAGGAAGACGCATGCAGAGGAACTCTTTCTCCTTATGATCCTTATGCATCCCTCTCTCTTCGACCCACGGTATTTTTTCTCTTTGTTCCCGTTTTGTGCCATAACCTTTCATCCACAACCTTTTCTTTTCACCCACCACTGACCCTTGTCTTTAAACCCACCACCCTTCTTTTCCGACCCCCGGAACTTGTTCGACTTGTTTTACTCGAGTCCGGGTTGGTCCGTTAGGGTGTTTTTAAGGTGGTGGCGAGAAGGTCACAAGACGATACCGGGGATGCAGCCTTTGCTTCTAGGAGGTAGAGACAACAACATTTGGGCGCAAAAGCAACCAGGGTCCTCCAGTATTTCTTTCTAGACTGCTAGGATGTGGTGGTAGAATCTGTAAGAAGTTCCTATAGAAGGTGCTCGGTCACGAGATATGTGGGTTAAAACAGAAGGATTGCGGATCCAATTGAAAGAAGCAGGGTCGCTAATCAAAAATGATGCAAAAATGCATTGTTATGCGTCAAAAAGAAAGGAGACGGATCGTGGGTCAAAAAAGAAGGGTTGTGGGTCAAAAATAAATGAGAAGGGTCATGGGTCAAAAAAGAAGGGTTGTGGGTCAGAAGAGAAGGTCGTGGGTCAGAAAAAAAATGTGGTGGGTCAGAATGAACCCCATACATACTTAATATATATATATATACATATATAAGTGCCATTCTGTTTCATTTTCACCATGGGTGTTCTGGGGACCAAACTAACCTGCGCCAATGTGACAGATCTGTCCGTTCTTGACGTGGCCCTTCCCCCCGGACCCCTGTGGAGAACCGACCCCACTCACAAAATCCGGCGGAAGACCCTTCTCGCCTCAAAAGGCTCCAACACAGGAACCGAGGGTCCAAGGACCCTGCATAGCTGCAGGGGTTTGGACCCTGTTTCCAGAAATGATTTGTCTTCCTGCTTCGTGCCCAGGTGCTTTTGCCTGCCCTTTGTGCCTGGGCTGCTGTGCGCTGGCGCTTGCGTGTCTTCCTTGCTGTTGTCCCGCTGCTCAGTGCTGCCCTGGGGCTGGCCCACGCGAGGGCTGGGCTGGCAACTGGCGCGCTGATTTGCCTGGCGCCTTGGGATGGGTGGTGGATGAGGAGAGAACAGATGGGACCGGACCTCCATGGATCGTATTCTGGATGGGAAGTTTCAGATTCACTTTCATTCCCTGTTCATATTCCAACTGGATTGGACAGAGAATGGCAAAAAGGTGGTGAGGCAGCTGTAAGATTGAGGCGTGATATAATATATATATATATTTGACGGTTGACGCCTGTTTCATTGGTAGGTTTGTAGTTTTCAATCTGGCAGGACCTGGCATTCCCTCCAGCACCCCAAGCTTGATAGCAGTTCTCAAAAAGAAAGACCGCGCTCTCACTGGGTGGCGCAAGAAAACCATGCACTCCATGAGTCATCGGTGGTCATCACATGTCATCACCATTGGTCAAAAAAGCCGTGTCCATGTCTATGTCAATTGGCTGTGCAAGCCGGAGGCCGGAGAGCTTCAAACGTCTAGTAACACATCCGATCCTGCCAGTACCATCCGAGGCAGCCTCCTCTTTGGCAGCTATGCTATGTTGCCTTTGGGTTCCGGTGTATTGGGATCCGATGATGATGGCCAGTGTGCTGGTACCAAGCCGCTGGCCTCTGCCAAATCGGTCTTAGACATGCGGAGTCGGGTCAAGAGGGTCTGCCATTTGTGCCGGAACATAGACATGGACAAAGCACAAGGTCAGGGAAATGATTTGAAGGGTCCATTCTCCCCGTGGCCAATATGAAAGGAGTTCCATGTCGGTGTGCCTCCTGAAGGATTCGGAGTGAACATCCTCTCACTAGACCCGTTTGGAACTCCAGGTTTGACAACTGTCCAACTTTGCATGTCGGTTTTGGAGAGTGGGAGAAACTTGAACACAATCATACTCAATCACATTATTCCTTGCGGTTCTCCCTTTTTCATTGCGCTTCTTCTGTGCCTCCACCTTTTTCTACGCATTCGAATGTTTCAGGCGCCAATGCCTATTTGACGATGGACTTGAGGAGATGGCTCCACAATCCGTTTGTGTCGTGGCTGAAAGGGCAGATTTGAAGGGCCGATCGGCCGATCACATTGGTTCTGTTAGCGATTTGAGTGGGGGGGCATGTGTGCTTCTGCTTGGCTTTCCGAAGGCCTTCAGAACTCATCCTTCTCCACCAGTCCACCTATTTACAGTGATAGGCCTTGAAAAACCATGGGGTAGTCACCCCTCCACACCGATAGAAGACACAACACATCCACACGACCTCAAGGACCTCCGCACCACCGGGTTCGGATTCGGTCTGGTCCGGCCGCCCATGGCCGCCCATGGCCTTGGATGACCATGAGATCCATGACGTTTGAAGACCCACCTGGTGGAAACAACCATTGTGTGGACCATGATCATGTTTTAAATGTTCCAGGGAGTGTAGAAGTCTATCAACGAGAGGCACCGAGGCACCGTTTTCCACACACTTTGAAACTCCTGGACTCGGGTGATCTAAACCCCAGGCCCTAGGACTCCAACAACATCCGAAAAGAAGGTTGTTGGGACGGGTGCCAGGGTGGTCTAGCTATTATACCTTCTAAGGCTCTAAGGATGCAAAGTCTGGACTGCATGAAAAGTAGGACTGGACCCGAACCTATGGAGGGGTCTGGGGTCGAACCCTAAGGGTGTTCAAAGACCAAGGCCGCAGGCCTGTTTGGAGTTTTAAACATTTGGACTTTGAGGGTCCATTTAGAGGCTTTACCGATCCGGTGCTTGAAATGGGCTCCATGCGGCGCTTGCCATTCTTTTTCAGTCCGGAGGACACAGCAGTTGGATGCACGGGGAACGTGGAAGAACACCCTGACATACCCCTGACATCAGCACTTGAACCGCGTACGAGACCCTGTAATCTCAATGGACTCAACTCGGCATCCCGTTCAACTTCCAACCAACCGACATAAGACTCTAAGTACCCAGACACGACGAATGGGACTGCCATATGTGCCGATCAGGCCAGGGGTGGTTTGGTTTGGGTCGTAGGTTTCCATATCCCAGTCCCATTCGTCGTGTCTGGGGTATACCAGGATGTCCGACCAGGACCATCCTGTTTGTCCGACCAGGACTATCCCTGCTGAGAGTGTCTCCCATCGGCGTTTCCGCTGTCTGCACCGAGGTCACGACCGGCGATGGGACCAAGGCCAACACGGCGCCGACCTCGGAGCGGTTCGGGCAACGGAACCAAAACGAACGCCTTGAACTGCGGAGGGTTTGAACTGAGGGCTGAGTGTTGGGAACGAACGCGTGGTGGCGGAGGGTGATTCTTTAGTTCGGATCACACGAAAGTTGGATGTTGCAATTGACAGGATTCTTATCACTCCTCAAACTTCATCTTGGATATTTTAGGATGTGTGCCACGCAGAGAAGTGGCCAAGTGGCAAAACAAGTGGGTGCCTCTGGGTTTCTGGACCATCCATGGCAGTCCTTACTTCATGTTGCGTGCCAATGAGTCGAGCATATGATTGAACATCTGGAAGAATTATCCTGCTTTGGCTGACACATGACAGCTCCTTACTATAGCACTACTTTGTTGATGGAAGAAACACAATGACAATGAATTAGAAACCCTGAATCACTTGGCTCCTTCAAACCATTGAACATCTTCTCCCCCCCATCCTTGAGACCTCCTCAAACCGCTCAGGGTTCGGTCTTTGGGGGCTGGACGGTTTTTCAGTCGGTCGTGCACGACGTAAGGCAACCTGAAGCGAAGACAAGTAGAGTCCAATCAGTCTTTACAGTTGGAAGTGAAGTATCTAAGCAACCTAAAGCTGGCAGCTTCGTACAGATGTGCTGGTAGATCTTTCGGTTGCCTAAAACTACATGTATCGGCTTTTATTGTTTCTTTGCAAAGTGTTCCACTGTCGTGTTTTTGTTCCCACATCCGACAGAGCTACGCTGCTTACCACGCCGCGAAAACTCTCTCCTGTCTAAGGCCGGTGCGCGGATGATCATCATGGCCGGTTCTGTGGTGTATAGCTTCACAGCAGGACTTATGGTCTTGACCCTTGGGCTGAAGAGGGACGGAGAGGGGCCCAGTGATGGCCTCGTGTATCGGGCGCCCAATCGGATTGAATCCGAGAGTTGTGTGGACGCGACACTGGACATTGCAGTTGTGATATGTTGTGATGGTATATGCTGATAGTTGTGGAATGTTGTGGAAGATCGCCAAAGATGTGTCGAGGAGAAGTTAGTGCAGAAACGGGGTTGTTCCATCTTGTTCTGACAAATTAATTTGCAGCATTGTGCCTTCAGAATCTATACTAATACTGTGCATATTATTACATGCTGAAAATTAGACATCAGACACATCTAATCAAGATTTCATGTATGTTCATGTCATTCTATTTCCAAATGCCTTTGGTTATTGGTGGCGTATATTTACAATAGCGTTTATACATGTTTATACATTCATTTTGTGTTTGGAAAGCAGTGTGCTGTCGACCCAGGACCTTGATTCAGCATCAGGGCCATGGTGTTTGGACGCCCATTGGACCCTGCGCCAGCAGGCGGTCACCGGCGGTCCGATGCTCTTTTGCCCATACACGACTTAGTGAGACTGTCATATAGTGTGAAACCCTACATTTGGGGTGGTTGATTTGGAGTCTTTGGGTTCTGATAACATGAATTCATTCTCCACCTATCAGGTGAGGGTTAGATGCAGGATGTGCAGCTCCGTTGATCAACTCTCGTACCACATGTCACCTGTGCTGTGGTTAAACAAAGACGTTCGTTGCCGGCATGTCCATCGACTACCATACAGCTCCAAAGACATCCGTTGCATAGGATTTTCGCAGGTATTGGGGGGAAGGCTACTGTAAGCAGATTTTAAATCATACAGTAGCCTCCCCAGTTCCACGGGTAGATTGGGTGGATTGGAGGTGTAACCAGTAACTCTGTAACCAATCTGGGGTGGATGTGTATTTTCCCAGGAAACCGCCGAATCCCCCAAACTGAGGTGTTTCACGAATTGTAGCCTTTCTCTCCAAGGATCGAAAGGCGAAGAGTCAAGCGAAGTCTGACAGCGCTCCGGCGGTCGGTTTTCATTGGCCTGTCCGTCCTATAGTCGTTTGGTCGTTTGGTCGTTTTAGATCTAACGAGGCCGTTCAGAGTTCAAGCTGCAGAGGGGCCAGGGGGTGTTTCTTTTTTTAAGGGGAGCCTCGACCAATAAGTTGTGGTCTATGTTTCTTCTTCCAGCAGGTCCAACATCGGGGGTCTAATGAACCCATATGACACAGTGATTTCGATGTAAACCTTACCAGAACACCAAAACACATAATACACAACAGGCAGCGCTGCAGTGGATAGCATGAGACCATGCGCTGCATCGCCGAGACTGAAACAAAAAATTCACCTGCCAGATGTGCAATCAAACATCTGCTCACCGAACACCAAAACACCTGCTCGTCTCATCTGCTCAGAAGGTGGATACCAATCCTGGAAAAACCACATTTCCGCCGTTTAAGACAACACCTGCACTATCCATTTTCCACCTGCTACGTTTCGACCGAACAAGGTGGTGGGCTCAAACAGCAACATCTGTTTTCTCAAGCAAGATCCATTAAAGGGTACCAGCTTTCCCCGGTCCAAACGCCCAAGTGTTAAACGAACATGGGTGAAGCAAGCAGCAGAGTATAGCAGAGTTGTTTTGTGTTTTTATATGTTTTATACCTGGTTTTGCTCAAGGTGATTTGTTATTTTCCCTTGCAGGGTAAATTCCCTTTTGGATTTTTTTTCCTTTTTCCGGGGTCCTTAATGCAAGCATAGAGTGACTGCTCGTTGTTTTGTAGCTCTTTTCCTCGCGCGACTGGCGAGGTCGGCGACAGGTCGTCTACCCAACGGTGGACACGGAGGTCTGAAGGATCGACCCGAACCTTCGACCTGACAACTCCGTCAAAGGAGAAAACAAACACTTTATATAACTATAAACATCTATCAACCATTGTGTTACTGTGTTGTTTATATACATATATATATACATCAGGTTTATATCATCAGATAAAGAAACACTAAACAGCCGTTTGGTTTTCAATCCTCATTCCTTGTGTACCCTTGACTGTGGCTTTTCGACCTCTGCAGGCATGGCAAGCTGCCGGCTTGGGCCATGACCGTCGCCTGCAGCCTGTCACTTGGTGGAGTGGGGCCGGTTCGATGTATTCGGCTGAAAAGAGAACTGAAGGTTAACTTGTTGAGTTCATTTTTGAGTGCAACACAATGCATTTAGTGTGAAGGTTCATTAATTAAAAACACACACCATTTTAATATGTTTGCATGTTTTTTTTGAGTTCACACTATATTTTTAATTTGAAGATTGAGTGCTTGGATGTCAAGATGTTTCGATTCTGCTCACTGATTCCTTCAAATCCGACAGCCAAGCTGAAGAGCTGAATCGAATTCTGTTCCAGTATTCTCAACAAATTGCCATGCATTTTCCAGCTGGGTGAGCAGAGTTTGGACTGGAAATCTCACCAAAGAAAACCCCAGAGTTGGACACGTTTTACCATGCTGGCTGCCAATGGCTGCAGGCGCATGGGTCACTCAGAGGAAAGAAGCCAAACCCTAGGCCCTAGGGACCCTAGCCTTCGACGAGGAGGTTCACGACTCCAGACCCCACGACGAGCCGCCGAGCCGCACGAAGCGTTTTGGAAAAAGCGACGACCGAGGTCCATGGTTGCAGTGGGCTTTGCCGCCAAAGCGTGCAAGGACGCCGAGGAGCGGACGACGGTGTGGGCGAAGCACATGGGGACGAGAAACGCGAGGGGGTGTTGTAGGAGGTGTACACAGGCTCGCAAGTTCAGACTTTTGGGGACCTGCACCCCAAAACATCAGGCTCTGAAACTGAAGAATTTTGTTTTTTTCTATGATTTTTTTGCGCACAGTGTGAGTTTGACCATGCTTTTGCCAGGGTTCGTTTGCCATTTCGTTCAACGAAACTTTCTTTGTTCCTAGTGACCTTGAAACGAGCATTCAGAATGGTTAATGCGGGCCCGCCCACGATCCACTTGGATTGCCCACCAAGCCTGTTTGAGAGGAACATACACCAGGAATTTTACGCATGAAGTATCCCAAAAGCATCTTCCCCCGGGGCGCTCTGACCTTTGGGGAATCGTAATTTTTCACTGGACGAACTTCCAGACCCTTTTGATTCCACCTTCCGACCATCGATGGTCTGACCTACGCCCTTGGTTGGTTGATGAACAGAAGGGGACTTTTTCCCCTAAGAGCACAATCAATCAATTTGGTATATGACAGTACCTGGCACCGACCCCTCTAGTCTTCCCAAGTACGGACATCACTGATTCTGATCTTTGGTGCTTCCGGTTGCTGGCCCGGTGCTTGCAGAGGACATCCATCAGCCCACGCGCTGGGCGCGTGACGAAGAGGCGAGGCGAGACCGAAGCGATTGAGGCTGTTGCAGCGCGGAACACCAAGAGTCAGGTGGTATATATTCATCCACATACCTTCTCAGAAGGTACTTGGGCCCTCCAAGCCTACATAAACAGTCTCCAATCACCTTCTGACAAGGTACTTGGATCCCTAGGGCCCTAGGGATTATGTTCGTTATAATTTCATATACTATACGCGCGCCCTCCACACCGAAGCTGCTTTTCACAAGGTTTTAATTTACGGCTTTGTTTTTGGTGCCGCAGAATCACTTACTTGGTACAGTCCTATCCAAACCGCTGCAGTACAGCAAGCCCGCGCACAGATACTATCCGGGACCAAAGTGTTAAGTCCGTTATTGGTGCAGTATTGGTGCTCACTTTTGAGTATCACGTACTGCGAGGAACCACGATGCAGAAACCTGAACTGTGTCCAGTAATGAGCCTTTGACCTTGAAAGCCTTTGACCGCTGCTCGTTGAGACACCGAGACACCGAGCTGCCGGATAGCTGCGCGGAGCCCGGAGAAGAGGCGGCTGGGCGGTTCTGAGACTCCCTCCAAGTTCCCCCTCCAACAACTTGGTTTACCCGGCATTCGTGATCTAAGCTATTTTTCTGCATCCGCGTGATGCTAAGTTTAAGCTCTGTATTGAATGATTTATATATAGTTCCCAATTGCCGATCCGTCCTGTTGTTTCCTTGGAAATAGGGCATCCATGCTCAGTCGTTTGTTCGACAAGTTCTTCAATCGTGGGCATCCGCGAGGCAGCTCCCAGGCAGCGCTGCGCACATTGCATGTGCATGCTTGTGTGCGATGGCGCTGCATGGCTGTGGCCTTGTGCACCGCAGAGGTGTGGCATCAACGCTGCTCTGCACTGTCATCTCCCCACACGCCGAGCGTGGCACCCTCGAGGGCTTTGCCTTGCCAGCAGAGACTGATGCCGATGCATTCCTCACACCCTGGCCCGAGCTGAACTGCGCGTTTGGCTCGCCAAGCGGAAGCATCCAGCATCTCATCGTAAACAACAGCCTCAAGCGCAACCTTGCCTTGCAGCAGGCACTTGGTGCATCCTCATTGCACCGAGCTTTGTAATCTCGATGTCCATCACAGGTAAGTGGCTTGCTGCGCATGATCTGGAGTGCGGGGAGCATGCAGCAGGAGCAAGCTCGTCAGATTTGACGCCCCGTGATCATGAGGGCGTTCTCGAAGGGAGAGCCACCTGCACTGCGCCAAGCATTGGTGCATGCATCATGGATGTGCAAGGCCCTATGCCACCCCTGCCCTCATCAACATGGTGGCCGAGCAGGTTCTGCGAGAGCTCCAAGAAACCAAAAGCAACTGGACTGGCGAGGTGTGCAGCAAGCCCCCAGAGTCGGGATAGCCAGATGGCATTGCAGATAGCTTGGCTTGGGGCTCCAGGCCTACTCTGGCGGAGTCAGGCCTTGCATGCGGCATCACATGCGTCTCCGCTAAGTGGATCGTGCAAAGCAACCTCACCGCCATCACCGCGGCAGCCAGCGCAAGGCATGCGCGTGCACCTGCAGCATCTTCCAGACCGCTGATGAGCTGCCTGCTGGGCAGTTGGAGACTGTGGAGAGCGGTCGAGAGAACGACAGAAGCACGATGGTGCAAGGCACGCGTTGCTTCGGATGCTTGCAGCTCAGGTGTTCCTCGAGGTCGATTTGCAGCTGATCATTAGCCTTGTGGGGACGAACGATAGGCTGTGACACACCGGGGCACCAAGTTCCGAATTCGTGGCCTACCAGGCCTACCATGACTTCTGGGATCTTCTGCGGCCATGACCAGCGCCTCTCCTTTAAATACAAACGCTTTCCGGACCACAGGCCTGTCCATCCCAATCAACCGGGCCACTCACACCTGAGTTTCTGTTGCCACAAAGCATTACAAAGCCATTGAAGATTTGGTTTGGTCGTGGTGGGCCCTTACTGTGTGTTTCCGCTGTGACGAAATATTAGAAAAACCATCATTCCAGATCCCATGGTGGTCCAATTAAACCGTTGCGCTTGTGCAGCTTCATGGTCCCAAAAACGGGGCCCAAAATCTGGCAGGGCGGCACCGGTAGCTTTAGTTGCCAGAAAATATATCCAACTTTGGTGCCAAAACTTCGACTGAAGAAAACGTTTTTTCTGCGAGTGTTGGCATAACACTTTGCAACGGGTTGCAAGGAAAAACGGGCATTACGTTGATATCATTAGCACCGTCCATGTCTCCGCAGCACTTATGTGTATGCGTATATCATATACAGAATCATTGCCTGGATCTCTGAATGACCTGACGTGTTGCCAAGACTGACCCCCTGACGCAATCATCCCAGCCCGGGAAGAACGTCCTCCATCGTCGTGCATGGTTGCCAGGTTCGCCCAACACGTTTGCCGCGGCACCTGCGATTTTACTGGATACAGCGCCTGACTGTGGTTTGCAAGAGCTGGAGATCCAGGTGGGCCTATATGGCGGTTTGTAGTGTCATGGGAGGGTAACAAATTTGTGCATCATCTGGAAAAAATTCCTGGTGCTGGTGGAAACACTGCAACTTCTAGAGTCTGCAGTGACCAATGTCCAGTCTCCTGTGCAAAGGCTGCGGTGGATGACTTTCCACTTTTCACCAGGACTCGGACCCAACATTCCCTCCTGCTCAAAGCTGGTTGAGTCTCAGAAGGTGAGTTTCAGACACACCAGCAAAATCTTCTGAAGTCCGTCTCCAAGTTACGTACTCTTCCTTCGGTTAGACCGGTTAGGCCATTGGCCGTTCACTCAGAGTTCTCAAGAGATGACCATCGCATGCCGCAGCAAACACTGCCAGCAACTGATTGTTTTTTGGAGCGGTGATTAACCGAGTCGATTGAGTCTACGCTTAGCTAATCTTTAGGAAGTTCCCTCCGGACATTGGATCCACAGGGGTTGAACAAAGAGAGAACGTGCACACTGTTTCCCAACAGTCTTTCAGACGTTTCAGTCCTTTTCGGTACTTTTTTGACTGTTTGATCTGCATGGCAATGCTTGACAGGCATTTGATCTTAATGGCCAGTGCGCTCTATGACTCCTACACCTTCTACAAGGGACTTCGAGTCACTGGGCTGGGGCTTCACTGGGAAAGTATAACATTCCAAAGTTTCTGTTTGGATGTAGGGTATGTACATACTATACACGTACCCCGACTTTTGGCTCAAGGGAAATAAGCGCGAGCGGCCGAGCTTTGAGCGTCCATATACATTTTCATGGTAGCGGAGCTCTTGGTTACGTTGGCCGCGCTTTTGATCCACTTGGTTGGCCTTTACCTGCCCGAGATTGTCGCCTCCATCGGTGTGCTGTCCGCCGCTTCGGTGGGCGCACGCTGGAGGTGGAATCAGAGGGCACTCCAGCAGCGACGAGTTGATCGCTGGCGGCGCCTGGTGCGCAAGATCTTCAGGATCCGCTCCCTCCGACGAGTTTGGGGGCATTTGGGCCACTTCCTGAACGACCGGAAGCGATGGCCACGGTTGGAGGGATGAGTGCACAAGAGCTGATCGACGTGGTACGACAGCTGAGGCAGGAGGTCACCCAGGGACAGCAGCGCGAAGCACGACTACAAGGGCAAGTTGAGATGCTGGTTCACGCTCAGCAGGCACAAGGAAGCGATCCAGGAGGACACTTCGAAGGTATGAGACAAGCGTTCACAGCCTTGGCGCAGTCACAGCAGGACCTCATTGAAAACATCAAGATGCCGAAGGACGCCAAGAAGACTATGAGCTTGGTCGACAATCGTGGACTAGCGAAACCGGACAAGTTCGACGGAAAGGAGGAAGGATTTTTGTACTGGCGCACTCGACTGGAGGCCTTTGTGACCTCGATCCATCCAGATCTAGAGGACATCATGCTGTGGGCTGAGGAGATGGACCATGAGATCATGTCGGCTGACATCAAAGCCGCTTGGGGCCCGTTGAACCCCAGTGAACGCGAAGTCGTGGACGTCGACAGCATGAACTCGCAGCTGTTTGCGGTGCTGCAGACGTTATGTGAACGTGAAGCTTTTCAGATAGTACGGAGCTCTGGAAAGCACAATGGTCTGGAGTCGTGGCGACGCCTGGTACGAAGACTTGACCCGGCCACCGGGAACCGAAGACGAGCAATGTTGAGAGCCATCCTCAACCCAAGCAAGGCGAGCAAGCTCGAAGACCTGTCGAACTCCATCGAATCTTGGGAGGAAATGGTAAGGCAGTACGAGCACAAGAAGAGACCGGACGGAACACGGCATCAGCTCGACGAGGAGATCCGCATGTCGGTGCTGGAACACTTGTGCCCCGGCGAATTGGAAAAGCATTTAAATTTGCAGTTGAATCGCTCAAGATTCACATCGTACCTGGACGTGCGCAACGAGATCGTGCTGTACATCGAGGCAAGGCTCGGGGCCAAGTTTCGAATGACCGATGCAAGCCAACCTCCCGGAGGGCAAGATCCACAACCCATGGATGTCGGAGCCTTTGAGAAGAAGGGCAAAGGAAAGAGCAAGAAAGGCAAAGGCAAAGGAAAAGACGGCAAGACGAAGAAGGGCGACTCGAAGGGCATCGGAAAGTGGCAGAGCAGCGGAAAAGGACAAGGATCCCAGGCCAAAGGCTCAGGTTCGCAAAGTTCGAAGACTTGCCACAGTTGGACTTGCCACAACTGTGGCAAGACGGGGCATTTTGCTCGAGATTGCTGGAGCGCTGGCGGCGGTGCGGCGAATGCGAACCAGAAGCCGAAAGGCGGGAAGTCTAATCCTAAGTCGAAGGGCAAAGGTGGCAAGCACATGTCCAACCTGGAGGAGTCCCCCGCAGAGCCACATGCAGAGCCGATGGATACAGGATGCTTCAGCCTCGCGGGACTCGAAGTAGAGATCGAGATCGACCCGGAGATTAAGCAAGAGCTGGAGGATGCAGATCGATGCATGAATCCCTGCGACTATTGCTTCTGCCAGAATTGCGGACTGGACGAAGGAGGACATGTTGAACACATCTGCAACTTGTGCGGCATGGATTGGGAAAGGTTCCTGGAGAACGAGGACCTGAAGTCCATTCGAGCTGCGCTCAAAATGACGAAGCCGGACGACTTCGAGTACATCGTGGACAAAACGATTTGCCTCATGAGGGGAATCTCACTGAAGACCTTCCAGGCTTATAAGGACGATGTGAAGGAGAAGTTGCGGAAGAAGGTCGACCCTGATGAGAGCTTGCGGAAGATGAACAAGGAGACATTGCAGCAAGTCGAAAAGCACAGGCAGGAACTTCGCTTGCTGTACTTCGAGAAGTTGACAGACGCGATCGTTGGGGAGAGTCGGACCTCTGGTCTAGGCCAGCCCCCGGGGTCCAAGGATGGCGGGACGAGTCAGACCGTTGGTCAGGCCGGCCCTGCATCCGGATCCAATGAGCAAGCTTCGAGCTCAGCAGGTCGTGTGGAGACGGAGGTGAAGCCCAGAGTGATGGAAGAGATGAGTCGAGCCTTTGGTTCGGCCGAGTTCCCATCAAGACCCGCAGGGTCATCATCCGGGACAGTCCTGCACCGAACCATCGGACAGATGGAAGTGGCGAACATTGACGCTACGATTCGCGAGAAGATGGCAGCGTGCGAAGAATGCGAAACGAAAGAAGAGGTTCAAAAGTTGGAAGCCGAAGTCATGGTGTTGAAGGCTAAGAAGGACAAGTTGAAAGAGAAGATTCACCGAGATGACCAGGTTACCAAAGCGAAAGCCAAGGCAGCACCTAAGCTCACCGCGGAGAACCTGAACGACCAAAGTTGGCACGATTCGCGGTATTATCAAGCTGTCAAGGCCGGTGCAAGCCATTCGTTGGCGTGGAGTCAAGAACGCAAGAGGAGGAAGGCGACCCTACATCGCCAACAAGGAGTTGCCGACCGTGCAGCCGAAAGAATCAGGATGGACAAGGAACAAAGCCTGTGAAGGAGGAGGAATTCGACAAGGAAGAAGACAACACGATTGAGACCGAAGCCGTGCAAGAGATGGACGACGGAATGGTGCGTGTTTTCACGGGCCAAGCAAAACGCGTGGCTCGAGGAAAGCTCAAGAAGCATCAGTTCTCCCGATTCTTCAAGTCTGCACGGACGTACCGGAAGCTCAGTCAGGAAGAAGTAGCCAAGTTCGCCGTGGAGACCAAAGACGACGAACTGCGAGTGATGGGCCGGAAGAGGACAGATGTTCTTCGCCGACGAGACCGACCCATGAGTAAGGAGAAGAAGGAATCCAGGAAGAAGCGTGTTCGCAAGGCAAGGGCACGCAAGCGCAAGGAAGAGGAGGAGAAGTTCTATCTGAAACACCCGCACGACAAGATGCGATGCTTCGATTTCCGGAGGTCCGAGATCGATCGCGAGCGCTACTTCCTGCAGAGCCGCCATGACGAGGTGCAGAAGGACCTGGATAACGTCAAGCTGACCCGTGGAGAGATCAATTCGTTTGCGGTGAACGAGCTGTCAGTCGACAAAAGCGGTTGGGTCAAGGTAACTGCAAACTTGGACACAGGTGCAGCCGTCACCGCGATCCCGACAGAGTTGAAGAGCCTGTTGGGGATGGAATCTGGAGATCCCAACGACGCCAGCTACAAGACCGCTTCGGGCGAGCTCATCGCGGACGAAGGTGGTGGAACGATCCGCGGCCTGAAGAAGGCTATGGAAGGAAAGTGGACGGTCGATTTGTGAACGTCCACAGGTTGCTCGTCTCAGGAAGCAAGGTGACAGCCCGCAACTTGGTTGTCATGGACGGAGAGCAAGGCGACATCGTTCCAAAGGATGGACCCATCGCACGAGGACTTCGAAGAGCGCTGAGGAGTTTGAAGCGCAAGTTCCCGAAGGACAACCGGGACACCACGAAGCTGTACGTGCACAAGGGCATCTTCTGCTTTGACCTCTGGTGCAAGGCAGAGCGAAAGACCGAAGGACATGAGACCATGGAGGAGCTCGCCGCAGTGGAGGCGGGTTTCCAGCGGCAGGTGAATCCGTAAGTCCGAAGACTCCGATGGGGGGAGTCGGTCCTTTGGACCGGCCGGACCCGCAGGAGCACCCTGAGGGGCGAATCGATCCGATGGATCGGTCGGCCCCCATGGAAGAAGAGGGCTCCAAAAGTGTTGAGGAGTCCAACATCTCCCACTGCAGAGGAGATCGAGGAGCATGAGGCGATTGGACACGCGATCCATCGCACATGGTGCGGACACTGCATCCGCGCCAGAGGGCTGCACGAGCAGCACAAGGCGACCCCAAGTCGAGACGACAGAGGATTGCCTACAGTGTCCCTGGATTATTTTTACTTAGGGGGCGAAGGCAGGGGAACGGAAGGAGAACTTCCAAACCTGCAGGTGAAAGATGAAAGTACAGGGATGCTATGGGCATCCACCATCCCGGCCAAGGGAGCCGATGCTTTCACCACGAATTTCGTGTTGTCCTGTTTGGACGAAATGGGTTACAGGAGGATAATCCTGAAGAGCGACAACGAAGTGTCGATCAAAGCGCTGAAAGACAGCATCAAAGCGGCAGCTAAAACAGAGCTCTCCCTCGAGGAGGGGAAAACGGGCGATAAGCCGTCCACGGGAAGTGTTGAGTCCGCCGTGAAAGAGACCAAGAGGCAGTGCAGAGCCATGAAGAGCGCGTTGGAGGAGAAGCTGGGGAAAAGCATTCCCGATCGTCACGCCATTTGGACGTGGCTGGCCAGACATGCATGCTTCCTCATCTCGCGCTATCGTGTTGGACCCGACGGGCGCACGCCATACGAGAGGTTGAAAGGTAAGAGATGGAGGCGACCCTTGGTTGTCTTCGGAGAGCGAGTGCACTTCAGACCGCTCCAGAGCTATGTCTCCGGAAGATCTGATTTGGCGCCAAAGCTGGACATGGGAGTGTACGTCGGTACACATGGAAGAAATGGAGATGCTTTGGTCATGACAAAAGAAGGCGTGATCAAAGGAGGCAGCTTGAAGAGGTTGACGGTTGAAGAAAGATGGGCCGACGTGGAGCTCTTCAAAGGAACACCCTGGAAGATGAGGCCGAAGTCCGAAGAGGACGTCGAGGCAGCCGCTGTACGGATTGAACTTCCGGCAGCTGAAGGCAGGCTCATGCCTGAGCCGGTGGCTCGAGACAGCGGGCCAAGGAACCTCTACGTCACACGTCGTGACGTGGAAGGAAACTACACGGCAGGATGTCCTGGATGCATAGCGATTCAGGTTGGGCTGCCAGCCAGGGCGCATTCGACAGAGTGCAGGACCCTGGTACAGAATCGGTTGATGGCGACCGACGAAGGCAAAGAAAGGGTGGCGAAGGCCCAGAAGCGAAAGGAGGGAGGAGCGGCTCCCAAGGTAGTGTTGGCCGATATGCCCGATGAGGCAGAAGAGATGCATGCACCAGATGGCGTTGGACAACCCGAGGAACGAGTTGACCCTGTGGGTCAGCCGGTCCCAGGTTCAGGAACGGGACGAATCGATCCACTCGATCGGTCGACCCCTCCAGTGTCTCGTGCGGCGGAAGGTGCAACAGGGGATGAATCTCCGGCCAAGAAAGGAAGACATGCGACCGTCAAGAAAGCCAAGGTTCAAACCACGCGCGGTTCAAAGCGCGGAGGAGGGGATCTCGACGATCTCTATGGAATTGAGCCTCCGAGAGAAGGGGAGATCGAGCTGGAGAGAGGACCCAGTTCATCCTCGAAAGGCGAAGCTGCAGTCGCGAGCCCTGCCAAAGAGCAGGAAGAGAAAGTGGACAAGAGTCCCATGCCAGCGCCAGTTCGACAGCTGGTGATCGAGACGATTTGCAATCTCGAGTTGGCGTCATTCCTCAACGAGAAGATGTTTCCAGAAGCCAGTTTTGCAGAGTGCAAGAACGTGAGCCGCGAAATGCTTCATTTAGGTGCAAGTATAGGGCACATGTCGCTGAGATATATAATCCAGAACGTTTCACTTCGAGGGCAAACCAATTTGGTCTCAGCCCCGGATTTGCAATTGACATGGAGTTGCAGAAGCCCAATGGAGAGTATTGGGACCTTTCGAAGAAGGCCGATGAGCAAGAAATGAACAGGCTTTTGGATCGGCACGAGCCGGCATGCCTCATTGGCTCACCACCTTGTGGACCATTCTCACCACTGCAGAATCTTAGCAAGGACAAAAGAACCCCAGAAGAAACCGAACGAATCAGGCAAGAAGGACTCACACACCTTCGAGTAGCTTGCAAAAGTTATCTCAAACAGATGAATGAGGGGAGGATCTTCTTGCATGAACACCCGAAGGGTGCCAGCTCCTGGAAGGAACCCGAAATGCAGACGCTGATCAACGACCCCAGAGTGATTCAGGTCGAAGGGCCGATGTGTCGTTGGGGCATGAAGGCGACAGATCAACAAGGTGAAGGGTTTGTGCGCAAAGAGACGCGCTACCTTACGAATTCTGTCGCAATTGCAGCTGCATTGTCGGGTCAATGCAACGGAGGACACAGACATGTTCATTTGGTGAACGGCAGAGCCAGGCAGGCGCAGAAGTATCCTCCACGCATGGTGGCAGCGATCCTGCGCGCGATCAGACAGGAACTTCATTGGCGTGGAGAGCTCAATGAACTATCAGTCGAAGGGTCTGGACCTAGTCCAGATGGAGAAACGAACGAACCCAACAACAAGTTCGATGCTCCAGTAGAAGATCATGAACAAGCCGAATACTTTGACACAGTCACTGGAGCTCCATTGCGCAAAGAAGCAGTTCTTGCCGCCAGGCAAGAAGAGCTGAGATGGGTTCACAAACAGCAGATCTACGTCAAGGTTCCGATTGAAGAATGTCATCAGGCCACTGGCAAGCCACCCATCACCTTGAAGTGGGTGGATAAGAACAAAGGAGACAATGAGAAAGAAAACTACAGAAGTCGCTTGGTGGTCAGAGAAGTCAAGAAGCCAGGTCAGACTGTTCCAGAATGCGAGAGCTTTTCAGCGATGCCTCCACTCGAGGCACTCAAGGCACTTTGTTCACTCATGACTTCGATGAAGGTCAGCCGACGTGGAAAAGTGCTCAAGCTCAAGTTGCTGGACATAAGCCGTGCTCATTTTTACAGCGATTCTCAACGAGCTGTATATTGCACACTGCCTGAAGGAGATGAGACCCCAGGTCATTGCGCCCGTCTTGTCAAGACGATGTACGGGACGCAAGACGCAGCATCAATTTGGCAAGCGACCTACAGCGAATCACTTCAAGAACACGGCATTCAAGCTGGAACGGCATGGCCATCGATATTCTATGACACGCAATCAGACGCGAGATTTCTTGTGCATGGAGACGATTTCCTGTTTTTAGGAGATGAGGATGCACAAAAGCGGATTGCCACCATTTTGGCAAAGAAGTTTGAATTTCGTGTCGACGGATGCGTCGGACCTGAAGAGTCAGATGGCACGGTGATGAGCGTGCTCAATAGGATTTTGGAATACAACAAGTCCACAGGGACGTTGACATACGAAGCTGATCCTAGACACGCAGAGATCATTGTGAAACAATTGCAACTAGAAGGCGCTCGAGAAGTGAGCACACCCTCGATAAAGCAGACGGGGGAAGAGGCGTTCATTGAAACGCCGCCTTTGAATCATGAAAAACCCTGAGCATCGGATATTGATCCTAATCAATAAACCGAAAAAATATCAATATTTTTGATTTGCCAAAAATATTGAAAATCATATTGATTTTGATATTGATTCCGGTATTGATTTCTGGGCAGCTTCGAAAAAGCAAATTTGATCAAATTTGATAATTTGGCTGGTTTTTGATCAAATTTGATCAAGCTGACCATGTTGCTGTTTATTGAATTTCCTATTGATTTTTGCTTGGCTTTGAGGAAGAATTTCTATTGAAAAAGCACGCGCCCAAATCAATAGAAATTGTTGATTTTTTTCAAGAATATTGATTAGGATCAATATCTGATGCCCAGGGAAGCAAAGATCTACAGATCGTTGGTGATGAGAGCAGCCTATTTGAGCCTAGACAGAGGAGATCTATGTGAAGCTGTGAAAACATTGGCAAGGTCTATGTCCGTTCCCGACGAAGATTCTTGGGCAAGATTGAAACGCTTGGGCAGATACCTGCTAGGCAAACCTAGAGTTGTGCAAGAGTTCAAACCGCAACGGATGTACACCAAGATCCGAGCTTTCACAGACAGTGACCATGCTGGATGCGTTCGCGCAAGAAAGTCCACCACCGGACTGGTCCTGATGTGTGGACAGCATACCTTGAAGTCTTCATCAACTCTGCAAACGACGATATCGTTGTCTTCGGGCGAATCGGAGTATTACGCCATCGTTAAAGCAACGGCATCGGTGCTCGGGATACGAGAATTGTTCCGAGAATGGGGAGTTGAGTTGGACTGCATGGTTCTTTCAGACTCCAGCGCAGCTAGAGGAATGTGCAGTCGACGCGGGCTAGGCAAAACAAGGCATGTACAGACCCGCTACTTGTGGGTTCAACAGAAGCTCAAAGAGAAAGAGTTCGAGTTGGTCGCGGTAGACACCGACAAGAACGTTGCCGACTTGTGCACCAAGCCTTTGAGCGCGGAAACCTGTTGGAAGCACATGCATGCTTTGGGCCAGTTCGCAAAGACCGGCAAGAGCACAGCTGCAAAAGCCGTGGAGTGAAGATTCATCTGCAAAGCAGAAGAATCTTAGGAGGGGTGTTTGGATGTAGGGTATGTACATACTATACACGTACCCCGACTTTTGGCTCAAGGGAAATAAGCGCGAGCGGCCGAGCTTTGAGCGTCCATATACATTTTCAGTTTCAGTCTCTTATATGGTGCGCGTTTTTAATTATCCTGGAGTAGATAGGCATGACAAAGACACACAGTAGACAGGCTCCCAACATATTTTCAGAAGTCCTCCAAAATGGATGAATCTGATACTCCGGAATTGACATGAATTGAATGGTGATGGGGATGGGTTCGAACCCGGAACACCTAGGTCAACCCGTCGGTCTCCTGGATTCTCCTGGTGCTAGGTCAAACCACACCATGTGATTCACCATGGAAGAAAACGGGAGAACCTATTGAATAGAATCATGAATCTATTAGAATCTGTTTGGTGAAGACAGCTGGTTAGGGTCTCATCTCATTGGGTGTCCCGTTGGATGGTCCCAGCTACTGGCGGACCGGTCGTCACGACCGGTGGCGACTCGGTGTGAGGAAACCACCTGAGTCCCCCCCACGAAACAAATGATGGTTCCAATTGGTTCCGATCGTTTTTTGCATATTTTTCGATCCATTCTCTGGAAGTAACACCTAACACCAAGTAACTTCACTGAGGCTTCCAAGGAAGCCTTGAGCTCACAAGCCTATGACTTCTTTACGCCACACGGCAGTGATGATCCAAGCACTGTTTTTGTTGTCCATTTGAATCAAAAGCAATCAAACACATGGTAGATGAGCAGCTTTGTATCAGTTTTTGTTGTCCTTTGTCCATGATGTTTGGTCGCTTGGAACTCTCCTCAGTACAGACAGGCTTGTTCAAGGTGACAGGACCCAAAGCACCAATTGAAGGCATGAGTTGGATCGCCTTGCTAGGGTTGTCACCAATATCGCTTCTTGTGCCAAACCGGCGACACGAACTCGTCACCGGGCTTCCAGCTTCCTCCGCAAGAACACCCACCACTCGGTTCTCTTCAACGGAACAATCCCACTCCTTGTTACTAGGAGAGAGGAGTTCCTAGTAGTAATGCACCTTGCTACCTGAGTAGCTTCTTTTTCCCAGTAGTAATGCCCTTGTTACGTTTGTAGCGATGCACCTCAGTAGCTCAGTAGCTCAGTAGCTGCTCTTGTCTCTTCCGTTCCCGATCCCGAGGATTTTGATCTTCGCCATGTTCACGGCCTCCATCAATGCGATGGCCTTGCTGCCTCTGGGACGTCGGACGCCGACCCGGCGCGGGAGGACCAGGGAGGACCAGGACGGGAGGACCGCGCTTGGTGCGGAGGAGCACCACTGCAGTTTCGATGATCAGGTGACATGAGGTGACTAAGGTCCCGAATAAAGAGGGGTGGAATGCCTGATTTGCCGAATTTGGCATGTGTGCTTTGGGATGACTGAAGTCCAGTTCCATGGAATCAAAGCAGATGGTCAGTTGGCGACCAGTTTAAGGAACCCCCTCCGCAACTAGCATTGGCCAAAAGGAGCTATTATCATTCAGAATGACGGTGAAATGGAGGTGAACTGTAGTTAGGAGCCCACTGCTTTCACCAGTTCAGAGGAAGCTTTGGAGGTGTTCTGTTGGTGAAACTACGGTGTCTCCGACGTCTCCGAAGACAGCGGTGAGCTGGGTCCAGGTGGGTTCGCATGCGCCTCGGTGTCTCAGCCTGCCTGTGGTGCACGCCTCGAGTGTCTCACAGGAAAAACGCCACTCTCCAACACAAAGTTGAAGTTCTGATGTTCGGAATGACTAAAACAACTGGCACCGAATTCCAGGAATTGGCCAGGCAAGTGCTGAACATACACGGACTGCTGTGAGGAGAAAAAGCTAGCACTGGACCACCTGCGACCGACCTCACTGGGATCAGGTGCAGAGAAGGTACTTTACCGATTTCTGGATCGCAAAGACCCAGACACTCATTGACCCTCCTAAGTATATAATTAAGTAGGAGCCAAACCCTTAGTATGGAGGGATCCCGATGGTTTGAGGGACCAAGGGTTGTGAAGGGAGCGTTTGGGGTGTGGCGGTTTTGCTGTCACGAAGAACATGAAACCCGACTTTTCAAGCTCGAAATCGCTCAATTCATCTCAGTCGTTGACAACAACTCTCCTCCCATCTTCAATCCATGACACAACTTAGTGGGGCATAGCTCCCACCCGATCAGTTGTGGTGGTTGATTTTCGAGGTCATGTGGGCATATCTTCCACCCGAATACTCCATGTATGGCATATTTACATGCACTGACCCTGAAATCAACCACCCCTAAATGTACTGGTATAGGGTTTCATTTGCCAGCCATGTTCGGCAGACATGTTGCACAGTTGGAAGGTCCAGTTTCAATTTGGAGGTTAATGAAGGGGTTTGAAGGGTTTGGGTCTAGATTGATAGGTTACTTGGTTCTGGAATTCACTTGGGGTAAGTATAGTATACAAGCAGCCAGCCCCTGGCCATCCCGGCTCCAATCAGGTTGGACTACTTCCGGGTGCGCTTGCCCGAGCTTGGAGATCGGAACTTCCGCCTCAGTCCACTGGTCACTTTTAATGAGACGACGAGATGAGTGAGACGAGACTAGGGAAGCCCCCGAAAAAGGCTGGGTCGTTCAGCAGGCGGAGGAAACCAGAGTGTTGGGTTCAGAAAACTGTTGGGGGGATAGATATTATATAGACGATATTGGGGGACGAGAGTCTTAACATCCAAAGAACTCAGAAGAGTATCATGGTTTTGGTGAGGGATCAACATGTATTGAACTTGTTTGGGTTTTGACCACATTGTGTGTCCCCTAGGGGCTCCAGTCGTACCTTCTAAGAAGGTGGGACTGGGGTGGATTTAGAGGGTCCAGTCATACCTTCTGAGGAGGTACGACTGGAGCCTTAGGGGCCCTTGGATTGCTTGGGAAGCGTCGCTCCCGGATCCAGGAAAACGTCCTCGTACCACGTGTTACTGCGCAGAACTTCAGACTGCGCAGTGCACGTAAGTAAGGAGTGGCGTCTCGAACCAGCTAGCAGCTAAGGACCTTCGACCGTCCTTGAGATCCCAGTGGCGGGTCGGTCACTACTTAGTCCCTGAAGAGGTCACTTACAGACTCCAAAGAGGTCACGCATACTGAAGCTCCTGGTGTGTGTGCATTCAAATGACTGGCCCCCCCTTGCGACCTCTTGGAAGAATAAATATAGACCCAACACCTATTAATTAAACTACACACCTAAATAGAAGTGCTGACTTCGACAGAAATTCGAAGAGTTGAGCGGCAAAGTCTGAAACACATCTGGTCAGGAACTCCTTTGAACAACATCTCAATAGAAGTCACCCTTAAAAAACAGGTCTGACCACCGACGTTGAAGTCGTTTCGGAGACCCGCTCAGAGCCAGCTGTAGAGTCGGCGGCCGGAACGGCCGGAACGCCGTTCCTAGGGCTCTCATGGGCTCTCATCATTCTGCTTGGGATCATGTGCTTCCAAGCTCAAGCTGTGTTTGTAATATGATGGGTGCTGCTGACCAAGAACAGAACCCAGGATGAAACATCGTAACTCGCAACACATCTCCCTCTCATAGTGAATTCACCCTGCCGGCTCAACAAATTCTCAACTGCTTGGGATCATGTTTTGTTGCTGACCAGTATCTAAATCGTATGTTCTTTTTGGTGTATATACATTTTATACATCGGAGAGACATGTGTGGAGTGTGGAGACTGTTCAGGACATTCGTCTCGGAGGGTCCAATTTCTTTTCTTCCGAGGTACTCTTTGCAAGTGTTTCCTGCTTTTTCTGAAACTCCGGGTGCTCAAAGTGCCTTTGACGGTCTATGTGCAAATGGCGCCTTTGACTGCCACGGCGCGGTTTTCGCTGTGACTGGTGAGTTTAGGTGGATCCTTCGGAGGGACATTGCACGGCTTGAGACAGATGACATGAAGTTTGATACCCCCTGGCCCGGATAAGCTTGGACCTTTTGGAGGGATGGGTTTCCACCAGAAGTCATGGCTGTTGCTCTCCACTTGAACAAAATGAAGCAACAAAGACAATGTTAGCACCTCTACCAAGCCGAAGAACTTCCAAATAAGTGCTTCTTTGGCCAAGTGCTCCTTGAAGAAAACGAGTCCCCTGAGACAGGTTCCGGAACCTGTCCCTGCATGCAGTCCCGGCATCCCCGGAGGATCTCACCCTCCACCAGTTCGGGTGCCTCCACCAGTTCGGGTGTCACTGCTGGGACTGCAGACGTATGACACTTGGTGAATCCACGAAACGGGTGAAGTTGTTGTTCCCCCCCGGTTGCTTAAGCAAATCCAAGTAGTTATAGATTTTGACTGATTTGGCATGGTATGTCAAGTCTTGTATGATCCAACCATCGCTGCTTTCTTCGTGCCTTTTGTTGCTGCACCTCACTTTTTTTTGGGACCAATTCTCATTCGTATCCACCTTTCGGTGGTTGTCATGTTTAGTCTGAAAGAAAGACGACACAGTCTGGCTAGAACAGCCTTTGGTATATCATATCTCCCGGGGTCATCGTGAAACATCACAACCCGGCAAGGACTCGACTTGGTTGAGTGAGATCTCAACCTATCCCAGAGTCCTGGGCGAAAGGATTCCGCAGCTCAGCCCAGAGTCTTGAGCGGGGTCGGGGCGCTCCGCCCTGGGCTGGGAGGGACGTGGGCCTGGGTTCGAGGGAGGGACGTCTCCTCCACTGGATTTGCAAGAACAGGTCCTCCACCGGATTTCATGGGAAAGCAGTTGATTTTTGGTATCTCGAATGTGAGAAACAGTGAGAGAACTTCTCCAACACCAAACAACATACTCCCATTGGGGTCAATCACCTTCTAGCAAACACGTGTTTTTTTCTCCTGTTCCTTCCGCTCAAAATCCACTGCCACCTTAGAAGCGAAGCTACAGCTGGACCCTCACTTCGGCTACATATATAGTCTCCCTGCTCACCTGCTCAGAGGGTAACTGTGTGTGGATCCACAGGGTTAAGCAGCAAAATCCAGGCCTCCGCGGCCGCTCTCAGCATCCGAGGATTTGGATGTGTGCCGATCCGGGGCTGTGCCCGTGCCTAGGGCGTTGAATGTCATATGACTGGGGATGACTGGGGTGATTGGGGGTGACAACTGTATGGAAGCACTTGATGTATTTATAAAGATCTATCTCGGATCTCTTTCCCTACCCCCAAAGTCCTTGCACCCCAAGGTTTCGCTTTAAACACTTCTGCTTCCTCTCTACGCGTGTTTTGTTTGCAGATATTATATTCTTGTCTTTCGAGACTTTTTCTTGCTTCTATGGCAACCGGATGCTGGTAGTGCAGGGCTCCGGCCCTGCATAACCTTCACCTTCCTGACTGCAAAATTAACAACATTACTAACTAGGACATAATTGTTCTTACGTCCTAGTAGATTGGGGCCCTTGGTGACTTCGAGCCGGAGCCGATGGAGAAAGACGTCCAAGCACACGATCATCATATTCAAAGTTCTTGTCCAGGCTCTCAATAATCTTGGAGCAAGTTTCCTCCTTTTCCACGTCTTCGACAGGGAAGTCCTCAAACAAGCGCCAAGTCACTCCTTAGAACGATCCAAGAATATTGAATATGCTCTCGCCGTTTTATCAACAAAACTCCACTCTGAGCTTTAGACCGCGGGGGCATGTAGCGGCACGTAGTAGTGTAGGGTGGTCATTGGACACCCATTGGATGGTCCCGGTAGTATATGTTCTAGTACTGCGCAGCTGGGACCGGTTTTTGACACGTGATTTCTAGGGTTCTGAAGCGCACCACGACGGGCGATTCACCACGCGCGACGTTCAGCCTCACTACGCCGACGAGGCTGAAATGCCGCCATGATTTGGGAGGCACTTGCAGCTACACCAATCAGCCCGCCTATGGGGGCTGCTTTTGCGAGCAGCAGGGCATACGTTTGGGCGGTTGAAAAGGCCTTCGGGAACAGAAACACCCAACATCAACTCAGATATTTATAGACCCCTGAAATAGATAGAAAAGTAGATCCCCGCGTAGAACATGTGGCATTCAACACTGTGCAATCCCATGCCATAGGCGGGGATCCCCCAAATCCAAATCGGATGTTTCGCTCACAGCATACTGTTTCGCATGGATGACCACATGAGAGCCCGCTCCTTGGAGCGGTTTGTGACCGGATGGAGCGCCCTTGGGCCCCGGAAGAACCGTGGCCGTCGGTCGAAGCAACACTTCATCCGGAGCAAGAAACCGTGGCCCTGGGCCTGGAGGAGTTCGGGACCTGGTTGGTGGCCCCTTCGTCACTCTCAAGCTATATCAGGCTATGTCATTCAATATCATATCATTGCATTGTATATCCACGTCTATTTCCCCAAAAGTTCCGTGTCTATTTCCCAGGTTCAGTGAGGTTCGATGATCATGGAATGTCATGGAACTCCCTTTTTGGCTGCTACACTTGGATTTGTCTTCATGGTCGAACTCGGTTTGCGGGTTGGCTTCAGGTATTTCTCGACCGGCATCCCAGTGCTGTTCCTTGGCTGACAGGTATTGATCCCAAAGTGGGGCCACGGATTTGAAGCGCCATTTGTATCTGCCACTGTTCGAGTTTTGAACTCTTTTGCAGGAGAGTTTCGGACTTTTGGACCAGAAGATGTGTTCCATATATGTAGGATTTCTTTGTTGTTTGCATGTTCTGTTTCTTCTGGGTCCACGTTTATTACTTGGGAGGTCTTCACCAACTGGAGGGATGCCTTTCAATCTCATGGTATGCCTTCTGTTGTCATTCCTCATTTGAGGCTTTTTCCATTCAAGGGTCCAAAATGATCCAAGGGTCCGAAACCAGGTATATGGGAAAATACATGAAAATACATTTTGGATGATTGATTTGTCGGCCTACTGTTGACCACCCCTCAAGTACCTAGGTCTGACCGTTTCATGGTCTTTGGGAACTGCTTCATCTCCGCCTGTGCCATCGCCCTGTTGACCAACTCGCGCATGAGGACTCGGGGCGTGCCCCTTGCCAATCAGGATGGTGAAATCAGGGTATCGATTATCGATCATCCATGATCATCCCCAAAGCTCGGCAGGATAGGAACTCCCATTCGTTGGGTTACAAACTTGGTTAAACCGACCAACCTGGCAGCATTTGGCAGCCAAGAGTGTGTTCTTGGCAGTCGTAGAGCTTCAACAGTATCAGCTTCAGATCTTGTCATGTGGAAGAATTCCACACCGCAGAGGTAACTGGCCACTGGCTTTGTGTATACACCTGCACAGTGGTTTGTAGGGATTGAAGGATGGGATTCCAATCCGGCATCAGGAGCACAAACTCAAACCACGGTATACTGTATACACAAAGAGGCACACAGTATATATATATATATACCCTGGGGATCCACGGGATCCACATACCTTCTCAGTTTCGGTACGACTGGGCCCTCCAAGCCTACATAAATAGTCTCCAATCACCTTCCAAGGTACTTGGATCCCTAGTAATATATATATTTATATATATAGTATATACGACGTATTATGTGTCATATACGCATCATTCATGTTGGTTGTCTCAGGTAGTGGGGTTTTCCTTCAGCTGGGTATAGCCTTTCATGTGTGCAAGTGCAACTGCCCAAGAACAAGATGCTGAGACAAGAACAAGACCTCCATGTGGTGAGTGGGCCCGATGCCCATCTTCGTTCTTTTCAGTTGGCATCGTTCCCAAGGGCTCCTGGCCCATATACTCAGGTTCGGTGGTTAGACCCCCCTGGCACCCACCCACCCCCAACCACCGAACCGAAACGGAGGTAGGCCAGGAGCCCTAGGGGTTCAACCTCGTGGCCGGTGTGTTCTTCACACCAACGAACTCAAACCATTTGGCGAACTCGTCCGGTGAGCCCGTTTTCGGTCCAGCCTTTTGGATCGTTTTCCACATGATCTGCACAACTGCTGTGGATCGATCTGATGTGGTATTTTCCCGAACTGGGTGAATCCTCAAACCTGGGTGAATCCCCAAACCTGGGGAAGATGATGGAAGATGGGATTTCTGGGTTTCCGCCGCACCTGGTTTTGGGCCACAGTGGTTCCGGCGCCGGTTCCGATGCCGGTTCGCCAACTCCTGGAGGTTTCGGTACCCCGAGTTGTCCCTCTTCGCGCTGGGGTGCTCCACCTTTCTTCCCACCGTGCGGGTACTGAGTGGTTTCGAGTCGGAGAGAAAGCAGGAAGGAAGACGGACAAAGGGGAGGAGATCGGTGTGGTTTTTGGAAGCCACCCAAAAGGTCTGAGAACACCTTCATGGATCTGCAGGGCCTCCGGTTTGGGGTGATATTGCAAATACAGTATAATATAGTTATTTATACATGGTATATTGACCCCTTAGTGGGGAATGGACCCCCCCCAAAAAAACATCTCTTGGTGGGCTATTATTAGACACCCCTCAGCTGTAAAGCCCTGGCATATCTGGTTTTTGTCTTGTTTGTGCGGTTTCCTGCGGTTGATCCTGGTGGGAATGGTTTTGTCGTGGAACTCGAAGCTCCTTCGTCAGCAAGAGTGAGGAAAGACGGCCCTGTGGAAATGGGTGGAATTGACTTGGACACTCGGGCTGCGAAAGCTGGTTGAAGCATCAAATTATGAGATGCACTCGTCAGTCAGTCTCTCACATGGAAGTAGAAATAGGCCCCTGGAAGACAATTTTGCTTGCTAAAAAGGAGGTGGATTTTCCACTTCAGAAGTGAGTCAGAGAGTAACACTCCATTCATCTCCATTCTTTCGGACATTAGAAGTCCCTTTTCTGCCTTGTGTTGGCCTTTCCTTCCCGGACACCCAGTCCCAACCAGAAACGGTCAGTTCTGGTTGTTCCTGCAAGCCAATTCGATCCACATAAGCCGGAAGCGGCTGCGTCCGCTGCCAGGCATTCATCGCGTTGAATACGATCTACCTCTCAGTACCTTGGAGCTGAGCCGGATCCACATGCCTTGCGTATCTTCGAAGGTATGTAAGATCCCTAGAATCCTAGCGTTGGATCCGGTCATGGAATTTTTGTAAGGGGAATATGTCTCCGGTAAGTTCAGCTCACATCCTTACATCCCAATCTTCATGGGAGTGATTGGGGTCGTAGGGGTGGACTGGTGATGCTGTTGGTCTTTTCCCAGCCCGGACTGGTCGGAGTCTACCTACAAAAGTTGACATAGGTGCATACACTCTGTTGGGTATGAGGTGTGGTTTCTTGCAAGGTCACGTTCGGGAAACTCAAAGGAACATCAAGGAATTGCAGGGTTTGGGACGACTTCCGGTGTCTTGAATCCGCGTCGCGGTCTTGGGTCCAAGCTGTCCATGGTCTCACTCAGTGGGCGAAACCAACCAGGAGAGGTTGCTGTACATCTCTGAGGACAATGTTCTGTAACGGATGACATCCGATGACCATGTTGTGATGACATGAAGCTGTTGTGATGTTTGAGGCACCCCTGGCACCCTCCTGTTGACCGGTTGCAAAGTTGTCTACCTACAGAACCTAGACACCACTTGATATAGAGAAAGACGTGACAAGACATTTTTTTGGGTGGTGGGTACTAACTCCAAAGCAAATGTCAAACGTGGTTCTACTGTAGGATTCTAGGCTGTTCCAAGTCTATGTGATACGATATACCCATTTTGCCCAAACAACTGTTCCTCTCAGAGGTTCTTTTTCGAATAACGAAGACGGTGTCTCTAGAAGTTGCGAGTGTCTCTCTCTCTCTCTTTTTTCCAGACACGACCAATAAGACTGGCATGTGAAACCCTACGTTGGGGTGGTTGAAACGTTTGTACCCAGTCCCATGGAATGGGACTCGACTTGGGCTAGTGGTGTGCCTGGACTCGTGGTGTCATGGTTTTTGGTCTAGTGACCCCTCTGATGCAAAACGATGTAAGAGTTGGTGAGAGATATAGCCTCAAGACTCCGTGGAGCCTCCATAGCAAGGGTCGATCTCTCCAAAAGAGAAGGGGCTCAAAAGAGGCCCCTCAAAAGCATAAGTGTTTGGTTGGGCTAAATCTGACATCAGATAGAACATGATAGAACCAAGAGATTCAGCTCCTCAGCGAAGCGCCGTTCTTCGCTGCCCAGGTGCCAAGTCTGGCAGCACGACATTTGCGATTCCCCAACGACTTCCTGGTGCTGACGATCCCGGCCGGCCGGTAGTCCTTTTTTCGCGCGTCAGTCGGACGTATCACATTTATTTGAAGGCCATGTAGTTCTTTTTCTCCAGCAACATGTACATAGGTGTTGTTAGAACTTAAATGTTTGTTCTCCATCTGACCAATACAACGTTCACTCCCGATGTCAAGAACTCCTCCTCCCACATTTCCCGTTCACTCCGCCGTTCACAGGCGCTGATCTTCATCTTGATGGCCAACGAGATGGCCAGGCGACGTCTGACCACCGGAACCGGACGACGTCTGACCACCGGAACCGGGCGGGGAACCGGGCGGTTCGGTTCGGGCGGTTCGACCGAGTCCAGGCGTTTGGAGACCGCGTGGAAGCTGCGGCACCTGGCGCCATATGAGCGGGTGACGCTCAGCTGGTGCGAGAGCGCCTGGCAGGCGAGATAGAAATCGATGAACAGCGGCGCCCTTGGGTTTTAGGCATACCTTATCACCAAGAATCATGTGCCGAACAGGGACTCGAGGTATGTTTTTGGGTTTTTGGATGGTTTTGTTTTCCCTTAACCCCTCGGCTACGAAGCTATTTCTTGTACCTTCTTGGTTTGAGGATGTTTAAAACGAGGTCACATTTTTGGCCTACTTTGGCAACCGAAGAACCACGTCGGAGCTGACTGTACAGACATCTGCTTTCCTGCTGACCTCGCAGACCTCGCAGGTGGTGAATTGCCATGGCTTGGATCACCTCAACGGCGCTCGTGTGGAAGCCGTGGACGACCAGAACCGTTCCCTGCTCGAGCGCCCCGACGCGCCGCAGGGCGCGCGGGGCGCGCGGGGCTCGGAAATTACGGTACAAGGCCCTGCGGTGTTGCTGAGCAAAGATCCGCCCAGGCAGGGGTGGAAGGGATGAGGGATGATGAGGGCGAAGGAAAAAGGTCGGTCAGAGAAAAAGGACCTGGGGCAGGAGTCGGCAGGACCTTCCAATTTGGGGATATTTTTGGGGTGTGACTGATCTTGTATACGTGTTCAACAAATGGATCCGGGTGCCTCAACTTGAGAAGTTCCGAAGTGGGAGACCATCCTTGATTAGGACTGGCCCGGGTTCCCCTGCCAGGATGGGGGAAAGTGCTTGAAGACCGATTCGTGAGCTTGAGGGAAGTTCCTGGGAGATGTTGAATATATTACTGTAGGATTGGCTGAGGCGCGTGGCTCCAGACGGTGTGCGATACAAGTGAAGCACACGTGGACCGGCCAAAAAAACCATCGATTCCCGGCCTAGGATCTAGAATCCCTGGGGTGGAGGAATCTTTTTTGTTCGCATCAACCCAACAGCTTCAGTACAAGGCACAGAGTTTCTCATTTCTCACTCTTATTAAGAGCGAACTGACAAACATACATATATATGGCTTGGGAATGGTTGGGATGAGGGTCAACAAGTTGTGGGGTTAGTTTTGGTAGCATGCTGTTTTTATCCATTTTTGATTCACTTCCCCAGTACTTAAGCAATTCCCAAAAGCATCCCATTATACATCCTAGTTTGCACCCCAAAATACCCTTCGGAACGTGGCGCCTTTCTTCACAGCGGGTTTCCGGACCCCGCTTTCCTTTCCTGGATGATTTGGCCTTCCGGGTGTCGATCCTTCCGACCTTGCAGGTATGGTTCCTTATGGGTCTCCAGTGGCTTTCGCTCCCTGACACCGCTGGCACATTGGACCACCGTCATCGCCATCCTCAAGGCGTTTGGGCGCGAGCTGTGTCGTTGGCGGTGCCACTGTTAGGGAAGAGGAAGGTCCGAAAGGACAGAAGTAGACAGAAGACCGGGTTGAAGCCAGGGATTTCGATGTGTCCACCAGTTTCCATTGGGTTCCTAAGGAGGTGTGCACGTTGAGGAGAAGAGTTGTTCATTTAGGCTTCCTGTCAGGCTACATCAAGCTACGTTTGGATGGACTATTTGTGTGCCCAATCATTTAGGAGTTTGACCCAGATCTATGTGGATGTAGCTAAAAGGCTCAAAGACCCAAAAGAGAAATCTTGAGGGAGGTGTGGTATTGTTTCTTTTATCGCTACTAGGTTGGAGGCCATCGCTATTAGGCTGGAGGCCATCGCTAGTAGGTTGGAGGCCATTGCTATTTAGGTGATTCACCATGAACTTTATCAGATTGGCACCCGAATTTAATCGCCTTCTGAACATCACGTGTTGAGCCCTTGCTCCTCATCCGCCTTTCCAAGTCCGATGGGAATTGGCCCTTGGGATCCACCGTCACCCTCTGAGAGACATTTGGAGACACTGTTATGTAGGTGCCAGGAGGGTCCAGTCATACCTTCTCAGAAGGTACTTGGATCCCAGGCATGTTGAGCCCTTTGGTCCTTCCAGTGCATTGCGCTGCAAGTGCAACTCTGGATTTCGAACCGCAGCCCGCATGACATGTTATATAGGGCAAATGATGTCGATGTGATTCCTGTTTGCCAACGTCGGGCACCAAACAACCAACGGCCAACATCGCCATGCACCGGAAGACGCAAAACACAACAACGGTGGCCCCCCCAAAACACACATGTTATCACCAACAACGGTTCACCAGACCGGAGAGGTGTGGGACCGGCTCCACATGCCTGTGATCTTGTGCGATGTCGGGACGCCCAACTCGACGAGATGAGTCGCCCGAAAGATGAGTCGCCCGAACGGCGAACGGGTGAGTTGGTCGATTTGAGGCATCCAACCCATCACGTGATTGCATCCCTGACCATGCAGGAGCTAGGGTCATGGCAAGAAACAACGAGAGTTTACTGCACCTAGCGAGTGTGAAGACATGCGAACTAATGTATAATATAACATTGATGTATAATAGGCACAATTATAGTTATTACTAATGTTGCTTATATCTTTGTTTGTTCAGCACAATTTGGTTTGGGTGCTCATTGGGCACCATCATTTTTGTTGGCCCATCAACTCCTTCCAGGAAAGGAATCACAGCCTCCGGTTTGAGCTACACCGTTTTCTGCCTTTGGGACAGGTGTGCCACGGCTCCTACCCTGCAGGGCTATTGGTAAGCATGTTCGATGATTTTCTCAAGGAAAACGGTCATGGACTCATCACAGGATCCCTTCGTTCCATGTGTCCGCGCGCAAGTTCTCTTTCTAACCTTCCTTCCATCAAGTGCGGTCAGGGCGAGTTGAAGAGACTTCGAGTGACCCAAAAAGCAACTCCTACAGTGGTTTCAGATGACACTGGCACCCAAAGATGTCCTTTAATGTCTTTTATATAGATGGGGTCCATGTAAGCCACCGACATTGGGGTGTGTGCCATCGAACCTCTGAAACTACTGTGCATGTGCCAGCAGTTCCATGTCGGGATGCAGAACTTGGAATGCGTAGAAAAGCCCTGTCACATCCACTCACTTGGGCAGAAACCATCCCGGCATGGAACTGCTGATGGGTCAGATCTGACATGTCACCATCCAGAATCGATGGCACGCTCCAATTCTGATCCACATCTAAGCCTAAGCATCGATGGCACGCTTCATCTCTGGACCCCAGAATCGCCCTCCTCAATGGATTTGTTTAAGAGAAAATCTACAGGAAACCATGTTTCTGATGTTTCTGACCCCAAAACCATGGGCTTCCTGTAGATTTTCCTTTGGACCAATTCTGAGACATCCTTTTTTGCACTTCTGGTCTTGGGCAGTTGTCGTGCCATCAACGTGGCGTACAGCGGCTGTGAGGGATTCTTCCGAAGATCGTGATCGGATGGTCAGATCAGAGCTTCCCACACGGAAAGATGCTTCGCTTGGGGGTCACCACTTGAGCCTCCGAGGTTCCCCAACCTCAACTGCACAACATTCAGTTTCAACTCCACTAGATCCTCATTGGACCCAAAGGCACTGAGTGCCCCACCTTCTCAAGAGTTGATGCAGCTCCACTAGAAAGAACTGAGCTGGTTTTTCACTGGTTGCATTTAAGGGACAAGCAATTTAGCGGGAGATGATAGGGAATGGCTCTTATTGCTCCTTACTGTGGATGAGCAAGCCAAAACGAGCAATACTATTGAAACAGAGTGAGTATTTCTATCTATAGGATCTGTAGAATATTTGTGACTGGTGGGTGGGGGATTATTTTTTAGGTTGGCATCCTGAAATTCATCCTTCATGTCCACCTTCCATCCCAGCTCAAGTACTCCATCAGGTCCTCCTGCTTTTGGTCCTCTCTGTGGCTGCGAGCATCCTGAATTTCACCCTACTGGACGAGGAGATGGACGAGACACTTGGAAACAGCGACCCACCGCTCGTCCAAGATCGGTGGACGGGGGCAGTCGACCGCCTCACTTCGGACGACCGAACTGGACGTGGTCGTCTCACCTCGCTTTGCCCAACTTGCCAGTCTCCGCCTGCAACAGACGCCGTCTTAAGAAATAACCATATACGCATCATACGCCATAATGGCACGTGTTTTTTTGAAAGGCAACTATTTGCGACGTTTCGAAGATTCTGGCAGATGTTCGCCAGAAAAAGCTAAGGCATGGTTGCAGCACACACAGCAAATATAATATGTAACTTATAGTATATATGATACCAATCCTGAAACATGCCTTTGGACCCTTTTGAGACCCTTAAAAAGAAGCATATTCCACTTGCTTCCAGCCGTTCATCCTGGACCGGCGGTGTTCGATGATGTTTATTGTATTTTTGTTCTGAACGCATACATCGCTCTTGGGTTGGAGGCCATCGCTATTAGGTTCCGAGCGCACAGATCGCCATCCAGGAATATATTCAGGAGGTGGTCTAATTTTTTTGAAAAATGCCCAGTGCTGGGGAGATTTCGTTGTGTGAGGTTTCATGCGTGAGTCATTGTTTTGTTTGCCCTTTTTGACTCTCTCTCTCTCTCTCTCACTTCTTGTACTCCATCTTCGGCAAATCAAATCTCTATACCCTGTGGATCCACACATGCTCTGAGAAGGTGTTTGGAGACTGTATCATGTAGCGGGTTCCAGTACCTTCTGAGAAGGTGGCAGTGGATCCCTAGGGTAATACAGTACCTTCCACACATGCCACGATGACCTCCGCCGCTCAGGACAGCCCAAGCGCGGCGCTGGAGCAAGATCCGCCGGCCCCAGCAGCTCCCTGGAAGCAGAGATTTCCAGAGAGGAGATACAGCAAAGTCGTGATTTCATGAGACTTCAAGGGATGCAGCATTTTTGCACAAATAGTATATTAATGGAATACCTGGGTCTTCAAACGGCCTAAATTTTTGCTGCATACATTCTTAAGTGGAAGGACGGGTGTAATCCCCAAAAAATGCCGTTTCAAGAGTTGCAAACATGTGCTCAAGATCCATCGACGCGGGAAAGATGCCTTTTGGATGCCCAAAGCAGCCAGTTTCCGCCTGCAACAAGAAACGCTGTCTTTGGGAAAATACGCCGTAACAGCATGTGTTTGAGGCAAGTATTTGTGATGTTTCGAAGATTCATGGATATTTTTCTTCCAGAAAAAGCCAAGCTAAGGCATCGTTGCAGCACACACATCAAACCCAACAGAGTTAATATAACTAATAATAATATATGTGACCAATCCAAAAACAGGTCTTTGGACCCTTTTGAGACCATTTCAAAAACAAACCGACTTGCTTCCAGCCTTTCATCGCTCTTCGCATCACTCTTGCACATCGCGAGGCATGGGGAGGTCATGGGAGGTCCTTCTGTAATTTTAAGTCCTATTTGCCTAAGCTGTTGGAGGCCATCGCTTCTAGGTTGTTTGCCATCGCTCTTAGGAGGCCATCGCTATTAGGTTGGAGGCAAAAGAAGATGGTTTCAGGGGTCAAAAAATAGGCATATACACCAGAGGTTCAATGTTTATCCTGTGCACCGTGCACCCAAACTACCCGATGGTCCAGTCAGGGCAATCGACCGGCTCATTGATGGATTTCGACCAATGGAGTACTGCTCGTCGACTAGTGAACCCATATCGTCGACGGCCAAACTTGACAGGACTTCCGACAAGGCACTAACCAAGGACTTCCAGAAGAAGTGAGAGTGAGAACATCTGCTGAAGGAAGGGCGCAAGGGCCGTCCAAGAGAGGTCCAGTGATCTTGCAAGAGCCCTAGTTAGGACCCTTCAAGCAGTGGCACTTTTCGTTCACATGCTACTTGTATATATAGGAATCATTCGCCATAGCCTACCGGACCCAATCAGATAATCAGGATCTGCTAACCAGCTATCTCGTAGCCTTCCCAGCTTCCTCCCAGATGCTCCCAGGCTCCCGCGCGTCGCCAGCGACGAGCTGAGCCTCCCCAGCGAGGCGCAATTTTGCGAGGCCTCGCCTCCAAGGGCGGCGGCAGCGGTGACCGGGCCGGGCTCCTTTGTGGCCTGGTGGGAAGGGATTTGGGTGGAAGAAAGAAGTGCAGAAGTCGGGCAGAAAGAAGGGAGGAAGATGGAGGAAAGGGAGTCCAGTCATGAGCAATTTGACCTCCTTGGTGATGACTCATTGGAAGTTCTGGGGTAGTTTCAAGATGTTTCAAACGTTTTCAACTCATTTTCACACGGAGCAGCGTGTAAACAGAGTGGGAGATGTTGTCACAGCGTCAATCGGAAGTTCAGGAGAAAGTTCAGGAGAATGGGTGGGTCATGGAAGCCAGGCATGTTGCACAATTGATCCTGTCTCATGTCCCCTCGAAACCTTTATCCCAGTTGAGTTCGACGATGTTTTGCTTCAGTGAAAGTACAAGAGGTGCCCAAAAATCAGGTGCCCAGATTTCAGACATTTTGAGACCAAGGACATCATTCATAACTTATAGTAGCGTTCGGACGCTATTATGTAGGTGGATGCCAAGCTTCTAGTAGGTTGGAGGCCATCGCTTGTAACAAGAAGCTACTTCTTCTCGCAAGGGTATCATATGTTGTTTTAGTTTAAATCTAGTTTAATTCTTATTGTTACTAGTAGTAAGGCACTTGTTTCTAATAGTTTTTTTTGTTACTACTAGTAAGGCACCTGTTGCTACTAGCGATGCACCTTTGACTCTCAGACTCTCAGGGTTGACTGTACTCTTCCAGACCTTTCACCGAAGACACCGAAGAATGAAACGGACCCGACCCCTTCTCGCAAGCAGCATGGACGTGCTTTCGACCACCTGCTGTTGGTATTCAAAGAAGGGTCCTTTCAGTGGCCATGCTATCCACGTAACTATGGAATCCATGGAACGTGGGTCGGAGTTGAAGCTTTTGTGCTTCCTTTCGCATGAAAAAACGAGAACTGTGGGACCTACCCGATAACAGACACTCTTTTCAGGAGTAATCGAAGAGGAGCGTTGGGGCACCTGTCCTGCGGTTGGGGTAGGTCGATGGGGGTCTAGCTACCTTCTGAGGAAACACCCTGCCTCCTTTCAATGTTGAGGACACGTGAGGAAACCCTTGAGACCTTTTGAAGCCTTTTGAGGAGTGCCAAGTGCTGATGGGCCGATAGGTGGTCACAGGCTAAAGAAGCTGGGCCCCAAACCTGGAAGTGCCAGGTTTCCCTTCACTTAACCCGAAATGCTTAGGTCGAACTTCAAGCAACCTGATGCCGATGCCCATCCTGAATGTCAGACCTCCGCCCTCGGGCCTCTCTCCAAGACCTTGGTCGCTCTATGATTCCAGATCACGGCCCGTTCTTGCGACGGGCTTGTCGCTGGACGCGGTGCATGTTGGACGACGCGGCCCATCGCGGTGCATCCTCCCAGTTCGGCCAGATGTGACTCCCGTGGTGGGAGAGTTCGCTCCACGTGTCTCGGACTGCGAGCTGAAGATGCCGAGCTGCCCGCTGTGAGTGAGGATCGTCTCCGAAGACTGGTGGTTTCAGAGACTATGTTCAACCTTGAAAGACTTGGGATGATTGAATCTGATCAGATTCATTTGGCTGACTTGAAATCTCCATGACTGAACCCAATGGCTGACGAATCTCTTTATATAAAGTGAGTTGAAACCACCAACCGGAGTGTGAAAAACGTCGACCATCTAGTGAGGTCAGACCCTCAGAGTTTGGCCGCCCTAGCCTTTCGATGACAGGGAGGGATGGTCAACACACTCCTTGCCTAGCCCAACCGGTCCATCAGTTGGAGATCAAGGATTCCTTCCGTGTGCCCTTTCTTTTATTTTTAGGTCATTCAGCAAATCCACCGTCATTAGTTTTGCGCACTCCACAGAAAGTAGCTAAAATAATATGAAACACTTAAGCTGAAACGTTGCGGTTATGAGTATGAGTATGAGCCTCCAAGTCTAGACTTTTGCTCGAGGGTTCTTGTGCGCTTGTTTCTGAGAGTGAGTCTTGGGGTTTTGAGATTGAGAGAGGTGTTGACACGAGTGGACAACTTCAGCTGTGACTAGTCTAACACCTACCCAATTATAGTGGATATAACCTTTATAACCCTTTGGGGGATGGGTTTCCCCGCTACAGAAAAAGGTTATCCTTTATGTTCCTCTCAAACTGAGGGTTTAGGGTAAGAGCTTTAGCTCTGAAAAGCTGTGATCTCAACATGTAGGTCATAGTCGCTCGCAAAACGCCCAGTGGTTCACTCGCAAACACCGAGCATAAGCAACCATGGTTGCTTGGCACTCTCATGGCTGGGGCTCTAGAATTACACGATACATTTTACGTGTATTTTTACGTTCATGTAAATTCCCGTATACGGACGGGATGTCTATTGGCAGGGTTGAGGGGTATATACAATGTATCATCCTGTATAGATATGCCAGTCACCAGGCACCAGGGAGACCCAAAAGTCTCTGATCAACCGGAGCGAAGACGTACGTGGTGATCTTGGCGTGTCAACGCGGCACCACCTGGCGCGGAACCGTGGGACCAAAGCGGGAGAGACAGGTTTGGTGGGAGGATCCTGGTCTATGGAAGTCTTTCATGAGAGCCCAAATAGCACTTCTATTGTTTGGGGTGGGTACCTCCGATTTGACCTGCGTTGGCAATCAACAGTTCCAATCTTGACTCCTAGAGCTCCTAATCTGATCTTTCTGATCTTCAGATGCAGCATGGAGAGTCTGCCCACTGATCAAGAGACAAGGAACGTCACGGTCACCGAAACTGGAGCGTCATGGCACCCCAGGGACCACGAACGAACAGAGCAGACGCCCCCAGGTCCATGGTCAAGCATGTCAAGCTGCGGAGGTCAAGAGTTCCAGGTGCCTTTTTTCCACGACCAGTTCGTACTTTTCATGGTCTTCGGAGACCTGAGATTCAGGAACTTCCACTGGAAGGAGAAGCACCGTCGTTCCACGATGTGGAACAGGTCGACCAGGTAGTATAATAGTATGTGGATGCTACGAATGGATCCTCCGGGTAGGTCAACGACTCGGGTAGGACGAACCGACCCGTCGTCCGATCAGCGAATGAACGCCTGGGAGGGAACCTCGGTGAGAGAACCCGCAGCTGGGGAAAGAGGGGTGTTTTTGATTTTGTGTTGTGGTTGCTTCTTTTCAAGTAACTCCATATTGAGTCAATCCTCTATATTGAGTAGATATTATCCATAATGAAGCTTAATTATATTGAGTATAGTCCATAGATTGGTCGTTTCAAGGCATTTTCTCCACCAAAAAGGATCCAACATGAACGCTTGGAGGATTTCCAAGATCCCCCGACGATATCCGGCTGTCTGGAGACTTTCAATTTCTCAGAAGGTTTTGGAATTCGATAGGACATTACTATACTAAGACTATACTATGCTATGCTATACTGAACAATACTGCCCTCTTTGGAGCCAAATAAAAACCCTATGTCTATGGACCAAAAGATCCTTCATGACCAAAACAAAACACTCAGGGCCCAGACCGGAACTCTACACGACCACCGACCACCAGTCCGACCGCCGACCACCGTGAGGAGCTGGAAATCCCCAAGCTCAAGGGCGCCTGTGGTGAGGTCGTCGGGATGCCCAGCCGATGGCGATCCGAGAGTTCACCCTCCGCTCCGGGACCATCCGGTGTGTGGCTTCGGCCTCTGGGGGCGGTTTGGACACGAGTGTGGCTTGGTGTTTGATACTTACCAAGATGCGCCCTCTCCCAAAAAAAAACATGATAAATGAGTGTGCATACAACTTTTTGTTGTTTTCGTGTTTGATTTTGTTTGTCCCATGACAAGTCATGAATGTAATGTGTGTGTTTTTTGGGTTGTAATCGACCCGGACAGAAGCGAGCAAGGTACTGTAGTTTATGACTCGCACGTCTTTGTGGAGATGGCTTCCATGTGATGACTTCTAAGAACCCGAGTTGGGGTGACTTGCTTTTTTTGAAGCATCAGATTAGATTGTCTCATGGTTGGAATTCAAGCGTTGCCAGTAAGATGAGATCAATACGGGTGAGTCCACCAAGAGTTGTTGATGTGACTGTCTCAGATCAGTGGATTCATGTTGAGTGGTGACTATTCTATTTTACATTAAATGATATTGTAGTTTTATCAGTCTTTCCTTTTCCCCTCTTTGTTTTTCTTATCTGTATCTATTGGTATTTTGGAAATCATTACATTTAGAAGTTACATCAGATTAATGTTGTTTTCTAATTCATACTGGATGTCCACACATCGTCGTCCGTTCCAAGAACACCATCTTTGCAAACCAAAGGATTGCAACGGGAGATGGACCAGATTGCAAGACGTTCCTCCGGTCCCAAGGGTGAAATGCGTGAGCACTGATTCCAAAAACACGGGGGTGCGGGGGTGTTCCCAGGAGAACTCAAACACTTTTGCAAACTGCAAAGAACAAACATGCAGTTTAAATTGAAGCTAAGAAGACCTAATTTTTGACCATTTGCCGAGCATAGACGAGAAATCCACTCATCAACTGGCTAACTTGGTGGTGTTTAAGACTGCTAAACAAGAGCATTTGGCCTTGGTGTTCTAAAAATTGTTGGGTGCTTCGTTGAAGCCATTCTCCCACTTGGCTAGATGTTCAGATCATCTTCTACATCTTCAGCCCGATGTCAGGATCAGTTGGTCTGTGGCTTGGTCTCCGCGATCGACAGCTACTTGGGTCGTAGTGCTCGTCGTCGCGAAGCGTGACCTGTGGATTGGACGGACGGACCGGCAGGTTCGGGTGGAAGATCCGGTGTCTAGCGGAATTCATGGAAGATCAGAGAATCCATATTTGGGGATGGAGGATGATGGAGGAATCTACTGGTAGATCATGCTGTTTGGGTGTCCTGGCTGGACTTACCCTACACTAGTTAGGAATCTTCAGACAGGACACCTATTGCAAACCGGTTGGAGGGCTCGCTGTGATTGATCCTGATGGTCGATTTGTAGAGACTCCAGAGTAGAAGCACTGATCCTCTCATCGTGTTATATAGCATACCATTGCATGTTGCAAGGTCCGGAGTTGATTGCAATCGATAATTTGCGCGTTCCTTTTTCATTGTATAAGCTGCTTGGACCTATACCATCTCTACAGCCCTAGAATCGAAGTATGTATTCGTACGTAGTACTGTCGCTTCCCACCGCTGCCAAGTTGGGCTTCGGAACAGACATAACACCATGCACCTCGAGCCCCAAGGTCAGGACGTCCCACCGTCAGGACGCTGAAAAGACAAGAGAAGACAACGACAGACCTCGGTGAGGTGTGATGAGGTGTGACATGTCGTCATGTCGTGCATTCAAATCGACCCCAAAACCAGTATACCCAAAACCCATTGGGCCACGGGTGTCTCCCTACCGTATAGTACCGTATTGTGCGTGACGCACCCCTATCACTCCCGATCACTGGGGGGGGTGCAAACCGATCGAGGAAGACCTGAGGACCTGAGGTGTTTCATCCCAGGCAGCACCTTTTCTCTTCAACGAAAAACAAATGATTCTCAAAAATGCAGTCCCATTGGTCAGAGCTTAAAGACCCTTCTGTTTGGGCAAAGGATTCTCTACCGCCTGGCGCCACCCTCTCTCTCTCTCTCGCTTCCTCCCTGCCTCCCTTCCTTTGTTTTGAGAGTCCAAAGATTAAAAGGTTTTCAGGGGATCTGATCTCGGGAATTTCCCTTGCTTTGCTAGGGAAAAGTATAGTCTTTGGACTATTAGGGTTTCCGGCGGGATCCACTGCCACCGTGTCGGGTTCAGTACGACTGGAAACCATGCTTGGCGCCTACATCAAGGTGTCTCCCTGTGAACAAAAACAGGTTGGCAGTGCTTGGAGTCTCAGTTCGTTCCTCAACCAAGAAACGGATAGTAGAAGTACCATGAAGTACCTGTTTTTGTAGGGTCATCCACGGTCATGTCCCATTTTTGGTACCCAAAAACGAACGCTCCATCCATCTCGTTTGATCGTCGCCTGAGGCCTTCGAGAGCACGTGGACCAGCTACGGGGCTCGGACTTGCGTCGGGGGCACCCAGGAAGGCCCCGGCCTTTGCCGTCCGGCCAAGGGCGACGGGGCGGGTCACGAAGTCGGTCGCCGGGAGCGTCCGAGGTCGGTCGCCGGGAGGGCCCCTGCCGTTCGAGGAGTCTATAGCCTCGGAGGTGAGGAACAGGGTGTCCGAAAAATCGCGGGGCGAATGGAAGGTCCTGGTACTTTCTTGTTCTTCCTATGTTAACTAGCT